AACATTTCACACAGCTTAAATTAGAAAATATGAGTACTGCACTATTACTTTCTATTTACCAACCTTTGTTCACTGGAAACTTTTCGAGTCCTCCCTACCCTGCCTTTTCAGTTCAGTGCCTAAAAAGTTATTTTGCTGATGACACACTGCTTCAGATGTCTTTTGTGCATACGTCTGAGTCTTCATCCACTTGAGCAAAACTGTTTCAATTTTATAGTTCAGAGATTCTGACCCTCACCTCCTATATCCTGCCAACCAGACCCACCTCCTGGCTCTGGCCTCCTGGGGCCTGCCATGATTATTTGGGAGGGAAAGACTTGGTAATTTTCACTCACACCATACTACAATACTTCCTAAAGTTATGTAGCCATACAAGGTTCAGCTGCCTAAGATGCTGAGAACTTTATCTCATCTTCTTTCATCTTTCTCAAGACTTTATTGACTTACTCCTTCTCCGCATCTATTTTACTTCCTTTTATAGTCCCAACTCTCTATCACTGCCCCCCACCCTTTTCTAATAAGCCACAATAAAAAGTTATTCACAGCTCATTCTTTTTCCTGGAATTAAAATTCTCATAGGTCACAATAAATGTATACAAAAGTAAATGCAGATGTACTATAATTTCACATAGGAGAATATTATGGTTGAGGAGGGATTACCATATAATTGAAATGACTGGATAGATTTACAAATATCCAATTTTATATCTTAAAAACAGAATATATCTTATTCACAAGTGTTCACATTTATAAAAATTCACTACATGCTTAGGCACAAAGAAACCTCAGAAATACTAAAGCCATATTCTCTAATCATTGTGAAATAAAATGAAAAATTAATAAAAATTAATGGTTTAAACAAAAATGACAATTACCTGGAACTTTCAAAAAACTATCCTGGGTTAAAGAGACAATAAATGTAATATCAAACTTTTTTGAAAATATAACACCACAGATAAAAATGTATTGGATCTATTCATAGCTGTAAGTCTCTGTATAAAAACACTAAGGTTTTGGAAAAACTGTTGCAAATATAGTAGAAAAACCTGAATATCTTTATTTTATCAAGAGCTCACATAAATTAATTTAAAACATAAAATCCAATAAGTAATAAACAGGCAACGGATGTAAACAGTATACAAAAGAAGAAGCACATTATGTGAAAAATGTCAAATTCACCAGTAATTAAACAAACTAAAACAACATAAAAGTGGACACGATTATTTAAAGAAAAAAACAAAACAAAACACCTAAGTTGTCAGGGATGCAGCAAAACAGGAATTCCTCGTGGGAGCATGAAGGGTCCATCCTTTGGTAAAGCAACTTGTTAATAGTAATCAAGAACTTTAAAAAACATTTACAAATTTTGATCCAGTAATTCTACTTCTGGGATTCTATCCTCAGCATGCATCCCTACATATGGAAAAACTTCACTCACAAAGATGTTTATTGGAAATGGGAACAACCTAAATGTTCAATAACAGGGACACTTAAAAAAAACTATGTGACTATAAAAATTATGCTAACGAAGACTATGCTATAAGGTGGAAAATACTTGTGCTTCACTGCTACACTGAAAGTCAGGCTTTAAAACTGTATGTATAGCCTAACAATCACAATGTCACCTCGTAATTTTTCAAGGTTGTAGTCAAATAAGTGCTAAAAAAGAGAAACAACCCAGGCATAGAAAAAGGAACTACAAGGAAAAACACCAAAATATTGTCATGAGCGATTGTTTTTCTTTCTCCTCTAATCCGTATTTCATGTCTTCTTTAATGAGTATATGCCATACATCTTCACGGACAGAAAGAAATTGTCCACATCCTCCTTATGGATCAGAAGGAAACACCTTTTTACGTAGGGCATGTACTGCCATTGTTCCTGGGTCTCTAAATTCATTTTGATACTCTAGCACAAAAACTGTGGGATGGAAGTATGTTAGGCAAACTCCCTCTTGCCTTCTGTACTCCAACGACTTCTTTTTTCCTTATGATTCCCTCAATTTTCCAAACCTAAAGAAATCCTATCCGTCCTCTCTGCATTCACTATCCTCCTTTGTGTCTGGGATCATTCTCACCTCACTTCTGCAGTGCAGACAGTGCCCCCCTGGCACGCTGCTCCCAGTCTCAGAGTCCTGAATCCTTGCTAGCCTCAGCTCTCAGGCACTCCAAACACCCAGCAAAGGGTTCTGGGGCAACCAAATGTTCTGTTCCAGTACTTCTCAGGTTGGAGGAAGGGAATGAAAGCAGCATAAGGAATCTTGGAGCCATAGAGAAAAGGTGGGAGATGTTTAAGAAATCCAACACAGGGCCTTTACGTGCAATTACAGATTGTATGTGATAAAGATTCAGATTTGTTTCTTGTATGGCAAAATTCTAGGACATATGTTTACTGAAAGAACAAAGGAATGCATGAATTAGGTTTCCCATCATCCTGCAATGACATAACTGATCAGTGACTCAAAGTGGTAGCTTCAGAGGAGGGGGTGGGGCAGGGAGCACTGGGGAAGGGAGGGCTTGGTTGTTTGGTACCAAAATAAGCCCTGACACTATGGCTTGCAATGACACTATGACATGGCTAGTCGAAGTGTGGCCTATGTAGGGGCAGCATTACTAACACCTGGGAGCTTGTTAGAAATGCACAATCTCAGACCCCACTCCAGAGCTGCGGGATCAGAATCTGCATTTTAACAAGATCCCCAATGATGCACATGCATATCGAAGTTTAAGAAATACTGCCTCAGAACACACACACACATTCACCAAGACAAAGGCAGTGCCTCTGCTCATCTGCACTTCCATCAAACCTCCAAGAGGTTTGATGATTCTTCACAAGGGCTGCCCTCAACTTTGGCCTCCCTCCAAACTTTTTCAGGGAATGGAGCTCACAAGGAACAGGCCCGATGGGATGTGCCCCAGTCCTCACCTTCACTCTGCATAGGCAGGTGGAATTAAACATTAATGCCCTTCGGCACAACCACTGGTTATGGAGTGCAGAAGCAACCATAAAGACAACACAAGGGAGAAAATACTCTTAAAATACGGTTTGGCCAAGTAAAAGCAAGACCAATCACTGCCATTTGTAAAAAACTGTTTACCACATGTGCCCAATGACCATGCAAGACAATCATGATTAAAGAAATCATTTAATATGCACCTGTTGACTTTGTAAAGGTTTATTAGATTACAGGACTGGTAATCCCAAACTCATAATCAAGGCTAAACTTTCGACTTCTGCCTGCAAATCTCCAGGATGAACATGTAAATAGGTTCCCTACTTGGAACCTGGAAAAAAGTGAAAAAAGCTTTTTATTCTTAAATCTAGGCTGCAGTTTTGGTAAAAGAGAAAGGTCTTTAAGCACTGCTGGGATGTGGAAGGGCTTATTGTGGGCACCAGACTCTACTCATCTTTCTAGGTCCAACTGAAGCGTTCCACATCTTTGAGAAGTTTTCCCCCAAATCATCAATCCCTGTTCTGTTTCTCATGGGATTTTCCTTAAACTTCTATTATGGCTCTTAGGGAGGTAGGAGAACTTATCTATTAGGAACCCATGCTTTGCAGCCTAACTATATTGGTCTAAATTCCCCCCTTTGCCTATTACTATCTGGATGACGTTGGCCAAGTACCTTCCCTCCACAGCTGTAAGATGCAGAAATCTCTATCATAGGTTTTCTTGGGAAGATGACATGAGACAATGCCAGATGTATGTATAAAAATTACAGTGCCTTGCACATAATAAAAAACCAATGTTAGCTATGATTATTAGCACTTCACAGAGTCTGGCTTCAATTAGAGTTGGTTGTATATATGTCTGCCTCCCTCACTAGACTGTGAGCAAACTGTTTATATCCCACACATCTGGCACAGGGACTTACAAATGGAAGACACAATAATATTTGTCAAACGGGTTTGAAGGTACGCCAAGAAAAGGAAAGGGAGGGTGCTGAAACAAATTTAATGTACTTTATGATTTTATCCAGGGCCAACCTCTGTGGTGTTTGTTTTTCTTCTATTACCAGAGTATGTTGTCTCAGACTACGAGATTGGTCGCTATAAAATGGGGCTGGCGGGACACTATTTCTGGAACCAGATGTTCTGTTCAGAGATAGTGAAGTTGTGCTATGAGGCATCTGAAACCTCCAGTTTGGTTCTCAGCTGAAAGGGGACTGAGGGCTGAAGTTCAGCCAGAGCTGGACGGGCCAAATGGGGTGCCCTAGCATAGAGTCACATCAGCTCTGAAGGTCACCCACCTAGAAGAAATGCATTTCGTTTTTCAGTGTATTCACTTAGAGGGATGTCTTTACATATTGCACAAAAGAGCTGTTTGTACCAGCAGGACTCCACTGCAAACTCAAAGGTCCCCTTTTAAACCAGCCTACTGATGCTTGGATGAACATCAACTAAGATAATATTACTTAGCTTACTAAATATTTATTGAGTGCCCATTATGTGTTAAACACTGTGCTAGACACTGCAGATCCAAAGGTAAATAAAGAAATTATAGTCAGGGGAAGGTTGGGAAGCAATGCAGAAGGCAGGAGTGTGGACAAGTATGACAAGTGCCACCTTAGGTGTAAGTGGTGAGGTATTGCAGAAACATCCAATATAAGGCTACTGTAAGGCTTAAAGGAGGGACTAACAATCAAGATGAGGCTTGAAGGAGTGATTGCCACAGCTAACATTTATTGAGCACATATTATATACATCAGGCCCTGTTCTGAGAACCCTGCATGAATCCCTCATTTAGTCCTTACAACAACCCTGTGAGGTAGATAACATTATTCTCTTCATTTTACAGATGAGGAGACTGAGGCTCACAGGAAAGGGTGGAGCTGGGATTCAAACTCGAGCAGCTTGGTTCCAGACTAAAGGAGGAGGAGAGGACCAAATCAGCCTTCAAGGCAGAGGCAAGTGCCTTGAAACAATCTGGAAGGGAGGAAAGAAGTTCCCCAAGTCCCTTGAGGAACTGAAAGTGTCTGGGGGTGGGGACAGAAGTTCAGAGATGACTCAGCTCAATCTGCAGGTTAGAAGGTAAACCAGAGGCAGGGGATTTCTAGTCTGCTTTGGACTTTTGAAAACGAGCTGTGTGATTCCTGCCATCTAACCCCTCCTGGCTTCAGTCTCCCCCTTTTGCAAAAGTCAATAATAACAATACCTGGGCCCTACCACAGAGAACGGCCACAGGCACCAAATAGGAAAAATGCATGTAAACTGATAGCAAAGAACGAATTCCTTACCAGACTTGAGATTTCACCAGTATCATTTCCCCTGTAGCTTCAAAGATTTGCAAACCCAAATCAACAACGTCAAAGCAGTAACAAGAGACTCTGAAGTGGAGCAACAGGGTAGGGAAATAGACCCTCGGACCCTGCGTCTGTCGCCTGCATTCAAATTCACAACTTACTGTGTGATCCCAAGGTAAGCTACTCTCTCACTACCTCAACTCCATCATCTGGGAAATGGGGATGATAATGATAGCACTCACCTTATAAGTTGCTGTGAGGAATAAGTAACACATGTAATACGCTTAGAACAGCTCCCAGCACAGAGTAAAGACGAAAACGTTAACAGCTATCATTACTGTCATTATTAAGAACTCTACTGACTACTCATCCCATTCCTCCACGTTGTATGTGATAAAAACATGTGGGGATATTAGAGACTAGAGCTGATGAAGGTTTGCAACCCTACACAACCACAATGCTGCAGACATTCTTCCTGGCTCCCACGGGCTGGCAAGCAGCTGGCTCTCTGTCCTGGCAGAAAATGCCCAAAAGAGGTAAAGGACAGAGACCGCACACCATCTGTACAAACCAGGCTGCTCTCGCAGTTTTTAGACAAAATCTAAATATAGTCCGCCCGATAAGCCTTGCTTTTTAAAGATAAAACTGTTCTTCGTACCTATACCCCCTTCCCTCCCTCCCCACACCCATGCACACTCCCCCACACCTCCCAAGAAAAGTTTAGTCTTTTGCAAGACATACTCTCGGGTCCTGTTGTGACAGGCTCTTGCCACATTAACTTCTCTGTCTAATTCCAGGCAGAGAAGCCTTTGCTAATTTCACAACAGGAAAGCACACAGGAAATTCGAGAACAAGGCAAATCTACACACAGAGCCCAGCATCTTCAAGCAAACTCACTGAGGTACTGACCCGAAGCAAGACGACTCTGGACTGTAAATGAGGCAGCTGCCTCCTAAACTGCGAGAGGACGGAAGAAGTCTTTTGCCTCTAAAAAACCAGTCTGAATACCAATTGTTAATGAATATTCATGAGCTGCTCCAGCTTGCTCAGGAGCCACCCTTGACTCTAACCCCGGAGCTTGGCTTCCTAAAATGTTTCCCAAAGTTTTTTCTCTGCCTCCTCTCAGAAGGAGAGGGTGGGAAAGTGTATTTAGGGCTTTTTGCCTCTTGCTCTTTCAAGTACTTGCTTTTGGTCTGGGCTTTTGGTTTTCTTTTTTCCTTTTTTTTTTTTTTTGTTTGTTCTTAAGGATTCAGATCAAATCAATTTTGCTCTTACCCCTTCTATCTTCCATAATTGGCAGCTTTTGTTTTCTTCCTCTTTATTTTTCAGCTTCTGCTTGCTGTGGTCGGTCTCAGTGAGAGAGGTACTCAAGGAACAGAGATATAACAGACCCTCGGGCTCGTGGGAGGGGCTAAATTAGCCTGCCCCGTTTCGGAAGGAACCTCAAACCCTATGTCTTTTTCATTGAAAGGACAGAGTGGCCGAGAAGTCCAACAGCTCATTCCCCTAAAGCTTCCCCAGGTTGCAATTTTTTGTATCTTGAAACAATGTATGTTCAGATATCTCTCTTCAGCTCTTTCCCTCTCCCTTTGTTACAGAAATCCATTTTTCCCCTTGAAAAGTATATCTTGGCTGCAAGCAAAAAAAAAAAAAAAAAGCTACTTACTTTTTGCAATTTTGAACAAGATAACAAGAAACTTGTTACCTTTATTCTGCTCTGCAGTAGTTATTTCCACTATTTTATCTTCCAGGTCACTTATCTGTTCTTCTGCCTCAGTTATTCTGCTATTGATCCCTTCTAGAGTATTTTTAATTTCATTTATTGTGTTGTTCATCATTGCTTGTTTCCTCTTTAGTTCTTCTAGGTCCTTGTTAAATGTTTCTTGCATTTTCTCTATTCTATTTCCAAGATTTTGGATCATCTTTACTATCATTATTCTGAATTCTTTTTCAGGTAGACTGCCTATTTCCTCTTCATTTGTTAGGTCTGGTGGGTTTTTATTTTGCTCCTTCATCTGCTGTGTGTTTTTCTGTCTTCTCATTTTGCTTATCTTACTGTGTTTGAGGTATCCTTTTTGCAGTCTGCAGGTTCGTAGTTCCCGTTGTTTTTGGTGTCTGTCCCCAGTGGCTAAGGTTGGTTCAGTGGGTTGTGTAGGCTTCCTGGTGGAGGGGACTAGTGCCTGTGTTCTGGTGGATGAGGCTGGATCTTGTCTTTCTGGTGGGCAGGTCCACGTCTGGTGGTGTGTTTTGGGGTGTCTGTGGCCTTATTATGATTTTAGGCAGCCTCTCTGCTAATGGGTGGGGTTGTGTTCCTGTCTTGCTAGGGGTTTGGCATAGGGTGTCCAGCACTGTAGCTTGCTGGTCGTTGAGTGAAGCTGGGTCTTGGTGTTGAGATGGAGATCTCTGGGAGATTTTCGCCGTCTGATATTACGTGGAGCTGGGAGGTCTCTTGTGGACCAGTGTCCTGAAGTTGGCTCTCCCACCTCAGAGGCACAGCACTGACTCCTGGCTGTAGCACCAAGAGCCTTTCATCCACACGGTTGCAACCTTGCCCGCCGACCATGCTCACCCAGTGCGCCCGCAGAGTCTGGCGCTGGGTAGGGGGCGGGCTTCAGGGACCCTTCCTCGCTCCTGGCCTCTCTCCCGCGGTGTCCTCTCCGCTGCTGCTGCCACTCCCTCTTTCTCTGGGCTCCTGTTGCTCAGCGGGCGCCTGCCACTACCAGCCGCTGGCACCCAGCCCCAGCCAGCCAAGCCCGTGGAATTGGAAACCAGCAACAACGTAGATCTTTTAGGATGTGTTTGATCTTAAAGGACTACCTGCTAGTGTTGGGGGGTCTCCTGCAGAGGCGGGGGGTGGCTGTGGCTCACCGTGGGGACAAGGACACTGTCCAAGAAACTTGTTACCTTGATACCCACCGGAAAAACTGTGGGACCCAAGAACAGTTCTTCCAGCCCCATAAATCTGATCACTTCTGGTCCCCTAATGAGCAATCCCTTTTAGAGGCTCATTACACCAGAAGAGCAACGGGTCACCCTAGCAAAAGATGCTGTGGCGAGAGAAAGCATGGTATTGGTCAGAAGGCAGGGTGGGACGGCAGGGGAGGCTGCTCGCTGGGAACAGCTGTCTAGCTGTACTGATGCAAGTTGTCTACCTTTTCCAAACCTAGACCTCCTATCTCTGAAGTCTTATGAGCAAGAATTGCTACACCCAGGCTTTGCCAACATGACCCAAATGCAGATGAGAAACTGACCAAAACATTTTAAAACTGTGTATATGAAGTTATTCTGAAATCAGGACAACAGCCAAGCCTCAGAGAGGAAGGTAAGTTCCCAAGTCCCAGGGCTGCCTGTCTGGGCAGCTTCCCCCTCCACAAGGCTGTCACAAACCTTAGCATTTTAGATTTGAAAGAGACCTCGGACATCTAGTCTAAGCAAGGATAGAGGCGTGGAGATGTTAAGCTACAAGTTCATGTTCACATTGAGAGCAGGGAGCTGGTTGTTACCATGCTCTCCAGCACTTAATATAGTTCCTCCCACGGTGTAGGCTCTCAGTAAATTTTTGATAAATGGTTGAGTTAATAAACAGCAGCAAAGCAGAACATAAATCTGATTTCACTGATTGCTAGTTCATGCTCTTTCTACACTGTTTCTTCAGCATGAGAGGTGGTATCTAAAGCCAATTGTACCATAAGACATTTTTCTTCCAAATATACCATAAGCCATTAAATTTGTGACCAATAAAGATTGTTTTTGACTCTATATATAACATATATTCTCCATTATACTTTTAATCATACTTCAATAAAGGCAGGGGCTTTTTTTAGTTTAGGCATCTCTGCTATCTGCACAGTGCTCAGCAGCATAGTATGTGCTCAGTAAATGTTTGGTGCTGGACTGCCCTGGTGGTCCAGTGGTTAAGACTCTGCGCTTCCACTGCAGGGGGCATGGATTCGATCCCTGGTCAGGGAACTATGATCCCACAAGCTGCATGGTGCGGCCCCCAAAAATAAATAAATAAAATTTTTGGTGCTTTGATAAATCTGGGTCTGTACAATACTCTTTCTTCACCTTACTAAAGGTTTCAGATTTAGAGCATTTGCCATTTATAATAAAAACTAATTATACTAAATGAAAATCCAGTGGATGCCTTCTCCCGCGCCAGTTTAGACTCCATTTCTAATAATATTGGTTTGATATCTGTGCTATTGTGGTAAAAATTTTTTTACTCTTTTTTTATTTAATTAATTTTTATTGGAGTATAGTTGCTTTATCATATGTGTTTACAATATGTATTTTGTGTTAGTTTCTACTGTACAGCACAGTGAATCAGCTATATGTATACATATATCCCCTCTTTTTTGGATTTCCTTCCCATTTAGGTCACCACAGAGCAGTGAGTAGAGTTCCCTGAGCTATATAGTACATTCTCATTAGTTATCTATTTTATACATAGTATCAATAGTGTATATATGTCAGGACTTCCCAGGGGTAGAAGGTAATAATTTAGTGAAGACCTGGGGGAATGAGCTGTGTGGTTATTTATGTCCTTTTGATATTATTTAAATGGTTCTTACTCATGGTTGGTTTCAAGGCTAAAAGAAGACTGCAAAAGAATGGGGTTTTATCATTGATAGGGATGTCAGAGGCATGATAAATCATACTTCAAGAAACATGTTAAATGTTGTATGGCAATTAACAAATCTAATCTCAGGAATTCATAGATTTTTTTTTCCACCAGGAACACACCCAAACCCCATCTTCTTACACCTGCTATAAACTAAGATACTAAGTCAGTACTCGTGTATGAATATTCAACAAACAAAATTTGCCAGCACCTTTTGAAAATCATATCAAATTTTCTTGACACTATTTGACATTGTACTTTGACAATCTATCAGCACCACATGCACGTCTTATCAAAAAAATTGTTTAGATTAACTCAATCATATTTGTAGTTCTCTACCATCAGTAATAACCTCTGCCCCCACTCCACCTGCCTGCTTACAGGCATTTAGGGATGATAAAAACCCCTGTGAGGGATAGGAAATAGGGCATGGGGTGGATATAAAAGTACTCAGAGTATTTAGAATGCACACTGGTTCAGAAAATGCCCCTTCCCTTCTTTTAGGAGAGGAGTAGGAAAGGCACTGCCTCTCGGAGCAGAGCCATGGTTCTCAACCCTACCTGCACATTATACATTATATGTAATCACTGCGGGTGCTTTAAAAGTGCTAATGCTCATCCCTACCCTCAGAAACTGGAATTTGGTCTGGGATTCAGATAAGGATTGCTCGTAAAAGGGCTCAGGTGATTTTAATGTGCTGCCAGGGTTTTAGAGTTAAGGAGATCTAGGTTTGAATCTTCACTGTGTAAAATTAGACAAGTTAGTGAGCCTCTCTGAACCTCAGTTTACCTGAGGAATAAAGATTTTTTTAAAAATCTACTTCATAGAGTCATTGTAGGGAAATAAATGTGTAAGAAATCCCAACAGATACCCTAGCACATAGTTGGCACTCAACAAGTTTGAGTTCCTTTCCTCTTCACTTATATGCTAGGTATATGGTTCAGATTAAATAAAACATTGTCTTCTCTTCTTGTGTCCCTTACTTTCTCCCCCTCCAATATCTTCCATTTATTTTTCAGACCTTCTCCCCCTCCCATATCTTCCATTTATTTTTCAGAAGTAACCCCAGGGCAACTGAAGGGAATGAGAACAGAAGTCCCTTCCCTCCAACAGCACATAGTACCTCTCCACCTCCCTTCCCCAAATTTAATGTGATCCTACATATTCAACAGCAACTGTGGGACTAGGGACATGCTGAGAGACGGGATTGGGGAGTGAAGTATGACCAAGGGTCACCCATGCCTTTGTTGTTCCAGGATAAGCAAGTGGCCTTGGTAGTCAGGAAGGAATGCCCTGAACTCTGAGTTAGGGGAAGCCCTTGAATGTTGCAGAATGGCCAGCTCTTCCAAAGTGGAAGTATGTGACCAAACAGTTGCACCATAAGAAGGCATGCTCAGAGCACATAGCACAGCAAAGTCAAGCACAGCAGACACTCAATAAGGAGTGTGCAGAATTGAAATAAAGGTCCTGAACTGCAGGTAAATGCCTAACCTGATCCCAGTACTTGATGAAGTCTGTGTTGTGTAAGCATTATCTTGGTTTACGTCAAGTATTTCACAACTGATTCATAACCACTCTTATCTGAGCTACAACTACTCCTTACTTCCCCCGCATTAGCTGAAATCTCTTGCATTTTCTGTTGAAACATCCCCTTTACCTCCTTCATCCTTCTACCCCCACTTCAAGTGCCCTGATTCCTCTAAATGTCTCAGAGATTTGCAGACATAATGAGTGAAGTGTCCCTTCATTAAAAAATGATAAAATTGTATTGCTACTCAAGAGGCAGGCCCCAAATCCAAGAGTTTCAGGTATAATAACTGATAACAGCTATAACATCTTTAAGGTCAAAGACATTCATTTCCAAAGAAACTACTCACAATCTATGAAAGTCCAATCGATTTATAAAAGCCCCAACTATTTAAAAATTTTTTTTAATTTTAACATATTTTTTAAATGTTAAATTTAAATAGAGATGGTAAACAGATCAGTGGCTGCCTGAGATTCACTGGGGTGGAGGGAGGTCTGAATAGGTGAAGCTCAGGGGACTTTTTAGAGTGTGAAACTATTGAGTATGATACTGCAATGCCAATGTAAATGTGACAATATTCATAACCTATAGAAATTTAAAGGACAAAAATGAACCTTAATGTATACAGTTTTAAAAAAAATCATCCATGGGGTTAAGGGATCCCTGAATGGAATGTTGATTGTGACAAAAGAATCCAGCTGTATTACGAATGTATGAAAGAGCCTCACTGAAGGGAGTAGGGGAAAGGGTACTGACCTGAGTCACTTTGGAAATGAGTAAAGTTTGTAAGACTAAAGGCAAAAGGAACTATACAAAAACATATTACTCTATTTGATGAAGCTGTTTCCCATGGGGATACAGGTTCATAATTCTGAGACCACTACATATGTATGGAATTGAACAATTATGTAAATAGATGACAGTAGGAGTCAGGGTTCTCACTGTTGGAGCGGAAGGTTACAGACAGGCAAGGGTAAGTGGCTAATTATAACAATCTATCACACTAATTTAAGATGTTAACAGGGGAAACTGGGCAGGGAGTATAGGAGAACTTTCTGTACTATCTTTACAACTTTTTCTGTAAATCAAAAACTATTCTAAAATTAAAAGTATATTTTAAAAATTATGTTGCTAAGCATTGTATAGGTGTTTAAAGGCATCTGTTGTACCGAAACCCCTTGCTGAAGGACATCTTTACTAAAGTAACTGCTAAAAGGACACGGTTTTGCAAAAGCATTTGTTACACATGATTTCTTGTTCAAACAATTCATTGTCTCTACATCCAGCAAAGCAAAATTAACTCAGGCTGTGGGCCAAGACATGGAAACAGCCTTGTTATATAGACTCAGTGTGATACTGGTAGTACTCAAATCTTTTCATCCATGACACACAATATTCCCATTGGTCTAAAAGAAAAAAAGCCTCTAAGTTGATTCCCCACTGGCTCAAAAAGTTTCCAAATAAGTGTCTCTGGAGAGAAGTCATTAACTCTGGGGCCAAGTGAGGGCAGGAAGGAGAACGGACTGCTGGTTCCAGAACTTGAAAAAAATAATAATAAAGGAAGGGAAATGCCTACGCTTCTTCAGACGGCCACCGTCATAGGGGAACATTGCCAGAGAACTTAAAGTAGCTCCGAGAAGGCAAAAAGTTGGAGTTAAGAAAAATTCATCATATTTAACTGACCCTAAGTGCCTGACTGCATTTGCTAAGCAATCAAGATTACAAAGGGCATAAATCTCTGTCTTCTAATTTAGGACATTTCTGGTCCTAGGAGGCAGGGGAAATTCTTAAAGAACACATGGCTTCTAGAATCTTATGCTCAAGACCTTAACAGGGTGGCTCAAACACCCAGTTTTTGAAGACAATAATAGCCCGTAATACCAGGCCAGTCTGTAGCAAGAAGCTCCCATGTTGCTGTTAATGCTCTGCCTCTGCAGAGATCTGCCGGGGGTGACAAACCCTGGAGACAAGGCCAAAGTCAGGCACCCTGCACTCCCTTACATTAGGCCCTTCATCCATTCAGGACCATCAAAGCCTGAAGAAATAATAGAGTGGGAAACGATAATAGTGATTTTCTGGCTTTTGAGATTATTACTTAGCCTAGACAGTTATCCCAGCTCATCCTTCAAGGTCTAGTTCAAACCTTAAATCTTTAAAGCCTTCCAGCTCCTCCAAATTCTGAGAGCATAATTCTTCTCTCTAAGTGACAAATAGCTTGGCACTTACTTAATGCCTTGCATTGCTAGCTTCAAGTGTGATTTATCTCATATGCACAACATAGAGTCTGACTGGAAATTCTTTTTCTCTCCTCCCCATCCACATCTTCCATATTCCATAGCACCCAGTCCAGGGTTTTGCATATGTGCTTAAATTTTAGGGGGAAAAGTTAGCTAGAACCTTTTAATAGATGAACCATTCTCAAGTAAAACTCCTTCTCAGCATATGAATGGGTCACTCAAATCTCTCCCAACTCCGAAATTTTCTGATCTACTCCAAAGTACGTAACAATTCCTATTGTTTTTTAAAATTAATTACTCGGCATATGACAGGTAATCTTCCACTGCTGAATTGTAATCTTTAAAAGGTTTCAAAAGCCAACTGGGAGTCAAGAATTAAATTAAAATTCACCTGCATTAGGCATTGTTACAAACAGCTCATCTGAGTTGGTGATCAGATGAAAAGATACCTTCCACACAACACTAAGCATGCACGTGCACAAAGACAAACACAGCATAACTTACAGTTCTGCCTGGAAACAGACTGATTTCTTTTGACATTAATTGCAAGACACACACTTAATTTCAAAACATTAAAATCTGTTTTTATCACGTGTTTTAGAATTAAGGATATACAGACTACATATAGAAAATGTCTGTAAGCCTACCCACACAACCGTTCATCTTAATTTCCAGGAAAAATAGAAATTACATAGGGTTCCCTGCTCCAAAGCCTCTGCAATGGCAAAGAGAAAGCTGCCGGATGAGAAAGGTGTCTGTGGGAGGGACAGATGCGGGAACACAAGGATCTGCACTTTGTGTGTCAACAATGCCTTGCAGACAAGACAATGTTTTTTCTGCTGCCATAATCCAGAGGATGGACAACATGGATTTTACAGGACATACTCAAGCGTGACATGCAACTAGAGGAAAGTAGAAGGAATTACCAGGATATAATACTTCATTAAGGGCTTCCCTGGTGGCGCAGAGGTTGAGAGTCCGCCTGCTGATGCAGGGGACGCGGGTTCGTGCCCCGGTCCGGGAATATCCCACATGCCGCGGAGCGGCTAGGCCCATGAGCCATGGCCACTGAGCCTGCGCGTCCGGAGCCTGTGCTCAGCAACGGGAGAGGCCACAACAGTGAGAGGCCCGCGTGCCGCAAAAAAAAAAACAAAAAAAAAACTTCATTAATATTTGACTAATATATAAATATTTACCACATGTACAATTATGTTACTGTGCTTTGAAAAGGGAGTAAGTTAGAAGAGAATCAGTGAGGAAAAGAATACTTTCCCCTTCTCTGCTTAACTGCCCTCCAGTTCCTTCTTCTGCCTAGCCAGAAAAGCCCTGTGAAAAAGAGACTGCAGTGCTCCCAAACAGTATGCCATGATTTATTATAGCTGTGCTACATCCCTTAGCCTCCCATACAGCCAGCACTTGTCATATTCTGCTTTTGTTTGGGTTATTTATGCATGGAGCAGATTCAATCTTAAACCACCACATTTAGGTATCCAAGAAATTTTGCTATGTTTATTTTCTTTATATCAACTTAAACCCATCTCAGTTCCCTCTGAGCTGCCAAGAAAATCAATCACAATCATTACTGGAGTCCCCTCACCTCCCTGGTTTACACCATAATCTGGGAGAAGTGCATGTATCAGAAAATAGGGGAAGGACTCCTAATCCCTCATTTACTTTGATCCCTTTTGATATTCTCACTGCCCAACCTTGAAATGTGACAGGCTTTCTGTTCCAGTGCTGAATGGGGATGGAGGAGGACTGGAGAGGGAGCTTTGCCTCTGATGGAAGCGCTGGCCATCCTACTGACCAGGACACAACCACAGAACAGTCAAGGGTGCCCAGTACCCATGGCCCACCAACCTCCACCCCCTTCCCAGTGCTCCAGAATTTCCACTCTTCCCTGGCCCTCAAAGGTACCCCTTTATTTCTTCCTGAATACTCTATTGCTTCAGAGCACCTTGCGCAATTTCAATAACAAGCTAGGGTAGGATTTGAGACCCACAATAACTAACACCTTAACAAAGTATCCTGCCTCTTACACTGGAGTTACCATTCCTTCCCACCCCAAGTTTCCCTTCAGTCCTCACTACACTCTCCATCACTACTAGACTTGGAGTTCTGGAGGGAAAGGACAGTTTACTACTTATTTTATATCCTCTAAAATACCTAACATGGGGATTCTCAACCACTGCACACAAGAAGTCAAATCCCCCCTCCCCAGTAAAAATTTAGTCCCTCCAAATTTTTACTGATGTTTTAAAAAAACTTTTTGCTACAGTTGAGTATAAATATTGTCACAGCAATGCCTGAGGCATGAAATGAAGCACTCAGGCAGCTGAGTGTAAAGCAGCTTTGCTGTAACTAAGCAGTATGAGGTTAGCATATCACCAGATAGGGCTACAGAGGAATGACACGAGCTCTGCCTCCAAGAAGAGCACAGCCGGGCAAAACCAGCTCTTCTCCAACAGCAGCTATCCTGAAGAGCAACCCATAGATAACCCTGATACCTTTATTGACATTATGGTGGCGATTGCGTTATAATCATTGCTGGCCTGATTTGTGTTGCTGTCAACCATTTAATTATCCCACAGTATGTCTCCAAAAATTCTAAAATTTGAAGTGTTTCTCTGAAGAGACTGCTAGCTGTACACTCCTCTTATTCTCATTTTCTTCCGATCTAAAAGAATATCCATTGTTTAGCCACCCGGCATAAAGACTACATTGCCCAGCCTATTTTGCAGCTGTGTGTACAAGCGCAGTGAATCACTCTGGGGCTAGCAACAATGGGTATCCATGACTACACTTGACCTGAAGGGGCAGGGAGAGGAAGGAAGAGGTTCCTGGAACCCACAGAGTAAGCTGTGGCTACAGAAGACAGTCGTCTGACAAGAACTGTGGCTTCTGCATTGGGTTGGGGTCCCCCAGAAGTAATTCTCAAAGGTAGGATTTCAGCACAAGTAGTTTATTTAGAAGCAATTCCAAGAGGCACTGGAAGCGGGTGGGTAAGTGAGACAGGGGAGGGAAGGAGGCCAACAGTGTGCACTGATCAGCAGATCACCACTGAGTGCAAATGGGGCTCAGTCTCGATAGGGACCTCTAGGAGATGGTGAAGAACAAGGCTCAGAGTTGTCCCAACCTGGGGGAGAGGACATGGGGGTGTTTACCCACCAATTCCCATACATCATTGGTTAAGGGCTGCTCCCTGGAGATATCAACTGTCCAGCACCTTTGCCCTGCCCTGCGCATGGGGTAGGCATGCTTCCATGGCCAGAAAAAGCCCTCAGGCAGAGAGTGGCGGGTGTTCACACAGGAAGCAGCCACCACCGTACATCAGGCATGGTGAGGGCTGAGGGTACCTGGGCAGGGGACCTATGGCGTCTGCTATACCTTCAGTTAAGGACTGTAGCCACTGCCACCGTGGCCCAGCAGGGAAGGAGCAGAGGAATAAATACCTGACCTCACTCTCTGCCCTCCCATCTCCTGCTGAACCTAATCAGAAGCCCCTTGATTCAGTTCACTCTGAACAACCTCCCATGGCACAGAGCAGGGTGGAAGAGGATGAACAGTGGACTGTGGAGCAAGCAGAGAATATCCAGCACATCTGCCTCCCACTGTCTCCAAATGTCTATATTTAAAATCTAGGACAGGGACTTCCCTGGTGGTCCAGTGGCAAAGACTCTGTGCTCCCAATGCAGGGGGCCGGGGTTCGATCCCTGGTCAGGGAACTAGATCCCACATGACACAACTAAGACACGGTGCAACCAAATAAATAAATATGTAAAATATTTTTTAAAAAAATAAAATAAAATCTAGGACAGCACTTTTTGACTATAGAAATATTGTGATACATTTATATCTTCGCTAAAACTAAAGAAACCTGTGACTGGGAAGGACCTTGGAAAACATCTCTGTGAGTCCAAGCAGTAGAGAGAGCACTAAGAAAATGAGAGGAGACTTAAGTTCTAGTTCTGGATCTAATAATTACAAATGATGCCACTTCGGGCAAGTCACTTAGTACTTCGGGCTGTTTCCTCATCCTTATAATAGGGCAAGGTCCTACTGACATAACAAAGATATTATGAAAATCAAAACAATATAAAATACCCTGTAATTAAAAGGGTTATACAGTGAGGTGTTAGTATACCCTCACTGTTCCAGACAGATGAGAAGTAATACCACTTTTAAACACATTTAGGAAGGAAATGCCACTATTTTGTTTAACTATGTTTTTTTCAATTTGGAAGATATTTACATATCTACCACCACAAAAAATTTTTAATGAGACAAGGCAAAAATAATTAACATGTATTTACTTACAATTATTTTCTGACCACTAATCCCCCACCAAAAAAATCTACATTCAATTAATTACATCAGTTTCTAATAAATAGGCATAGTCATTTTTCTCTAGTTATTTCCTTTTATTGTTGACAGTGTGCTTTACTCTTTTAACCACTTCTTCTTTTATCCTTATGTGTTCAACATTTCTGATGATCCAGTAATCATGCCCAAGATCACAATTCTACGTCTTTTCACTTCCCTTTTAATGTAGAAAATAAGGTTAATGATGGAGGCACCATCAGATTATAGTAAGAAATACCAGGTAGAACATCTTATAGGTGCAATCACCAATCCAAGGAATGAATAAAGTTACAATTATTGTTCCTAAATGGAGATGTCAGAGTTGCTGCCTTGTTACAAATCAGGAATCAAGATAACATTAACCCAGAGAAATTCATGAAACAAAATGCAGTGTTTCCTGTGGTGTTATCACACTGTTACTGCATTAAGATCCCAACCAGTGTAGTAACTCATTTGGCTGGCCTAAAGTTTTCACGAAGGAACTCTGGGGGAGGGGAGATTGTTTTTAAATGTACCACCACTAGGAAAATAAGCATTTGATAGTTCTTACCCATCTACAAGGTAGAGGAAGGTGGAGACAAAGTCATTAAGGAAACAAAATAAGACATTTCATAAGAATGAACAATTTTTTAAAAAGAGTGAATATAAAGATATCATTCTTTTTGCTGGCTCTATTGTTTCAAGTCTTTGTGGTGGGTGGGAACAGGAAGACTTTAAAGCAGAGGGAAGGAAAAGGCTTTGCCCTTTTCCTTAAAGCAAGTTAACTCTATTTTAATTAGCTTTCTGGCTGTTATCTCTTTGCTTCACATCAAGAACACTGCAATGCCCCATTATCACACCATCTTGAGGAAACAGATACTGCCCTCCTGAACTTTGGCAAGAAGCATAACAGACATAGCACCTCAGGACTGACCACTCCAGGAAAGTTTTTGCATAGACCCTCCTCCCAGTAAGTTAAAGGAAACTACTTAAAAAAAATTCTCTATGAAATGATAAGCCATTTTCCATGTAGGTAATTTTCATTGTCCATATTTACGTTTCTCTGAATATAATTGTTAGAAACTCCATTTAAAACGCTAGAATGTCTGATATGTGCTTAAAAAAAGAGGGGGGAGGGAGGGAAGAGGGAGGGAGAGAGAGATAATGGGGAAAATATTGGAGAAGAAAATTCAAGTAAGATGAAATATATTCAGTGGTTAGCTAGCCTTAATAAGCTATTATTTTTATATTCCTAAACTTGCTAAAGATTATTCCAATTTGTAATACCTAAAACAACAAACTTATATTAGGATTTAAAAAAAGGTTTTGATGGAAGGGATATTCAAATAATTTAATTTACAAAGAATGTTAAGTGAATACTCTGATATTTACACAACTTTCATTCCAAATGTGGAAACTCTATAGATTGGTTTGGGTTTCGGCATCAGACTGCTAGGAATAATCAAACAGATAGATATTATCTGGGTGTCATTTTTAGGGTGCTGTTAAGAGAGCCTCAATCAAAATTTAAATACCTCTACCACCTGCCTGCTGAGATTTTAGACCTCTGTTAACTGTGGACAAATTCACTCCACAATTAGTTGTAAATAGCCATGAGAAAAGTAACAATAGATGCCATTTCTAGGTTTAAAAAAGAAGAAAATGCATGTACTTAAATGAATTATAAATATTGATATTGATATGAATTGTAAATATTGATCTGACCAATAAATGGGAAAGAGGGGATAGAGAGATTATGCTCTCCCCAGAACATATTTTGAGTTCTTCTATGGCTGATTGACTAGTGAGAGAGTTCTTTCCCAATGAAATGGGTATTAATTAAAATAAATCTTTATGATTGTAAAGTATGAACTGCATACATATTATCTGCAGGAAATTCCTAGACAACTTCCAAACAGGAGGTAGAGATCTTGAGGTCATCTCTAGACTGAATTCTGACCACAGTACTCAGATACGGAGAAGAAATTCTAGAGAATAAATACAAATAGAGGCCTTACATTTTGGAGGTTGTCTAGGCTCACTGATACAAGAGTTTTGCTTGATTAAATGAGTCCGTTTTCCCCTCAAATAAGAAAATTCAATGTACCAAAGCTACAACTCACCTCTAAAGGTCAGCAAACCTTGTGAGTACCAAGTGTGATCACAACCCCTGATGTTAGAGCTCCATGTTATGGGACAAATGGGCATCCTATCAACTTCTGAACCTAAGCTGGGGCATAATTTACTGTGGAAACACTGTTGAAGGAACTTCATGTTCTTGGAAGCTCCCTGGATTATAGACTCTGAACTAGAGCTAGCAGTGAGTATGACTAGACAAAGTTTGAAAGATCATGCTCCCAGAGAAGTGGTAATGCCTTCAAACCCAGGCAAGGGGCCCCTGCCCTAGTCCTGCACCTTAGACGGACCCATAAACCACAAAACCATAAATGATGAATTTGGTAAAAATCACACTGGTACTTCTGTCACTCAGGACCCAGTGCTCAGTGATGACACTGGGCAATTCACAATCCAACACATCTGCTGCTGTGATTCACACCATCTAGGCACCAGAGAAACACTCTGCTACACTACCCTGTGTCCATGAAAGACAACTATGTTCAAATGAAGAATTGAGGACTGTGGCACTGCTGATATCAGAGACGGACAATGCTTCAGAGTATGAGGAGCATTTGAGTTGGAGAAATAATTAGGTAAGAAAAAAAATTAGCTCATCATATCTTTTCTCTCAAATATCATGACCACAATAGATTTTTGAATAGCAAACTATTTGTCATAGAGCAGAGTGTTCATTGTCTTGAACTCTCTACTTCCAATATTCACAATTTAGCACAGTTTTTACAACAGTTGCACATGGTATCTGAGGAAAAATTTACAATATTAAACAATTTAATAATATCTTAAATCTGTATATATGTAAGTCTAGGTAAAACATATATTAAACACAACACATATTCTTCACATTGATAGCTACAATTATGAATAGGTTTAGGTTTACAGAAAAAATTTATAATACTTAATTAAATTTCAAAAAGCAGTTAAAACTTTCAATTATATTTAACTAAATTTAACTTAAATTTTGATAGTCATTATTATTATGTTTTGCCTTTGAACTTAGCAGATAATATTGAATATATTCAAAGAAAAATAATTTCTTTTTTTTGGTTTTGTTTCGGTTTTTTATGTTTATTTTTTCTTATTAGTCATCCATTTTATACACATCAGTGTATACATGTCAATCCCAATCTCCCAATTCATCACACCACCACGACCACCCACCACTGCCTTCCCCGCTTGCTGTCCATACATTTTTTCTCTACTTCTGTGTCTCAATTTCTGCTCTGCAAACCGGTTCATCTGTACCATTTTCTAGGCTCCACATATATGCGTTAATATACGATACTTGTTTTTTTCCTTCTGACTTACTTCACTCTGTATGACAGTCTCTAGATGCATCCACGTCTCTACAAATGACCCAATTTAGTTCCATTTTATGGCTGAGTAATATTACATTGTATATATGTACCACATCTTCTTTATCCATTCGTCTGTCGATGGGCATTTAGGTTGCTTCCATGTCCTGGCTATTGTAAATAGTGCTGCAATGAACATTGGGGTGCATGTGTCTTTTTGAATTATGGTTTTCTCTAGGTATATGTCCAGTAGTGGGATTGCTGGGTCATATGGTAATTCTATTTTTAGTTCTTTAAGGAACCTCCATACTGTTCTCCATAGTGGCTGTATCAATTTACACCCTCCAGCATTTTCTCCACACCCTCTCCAGCATTTGTTGTTTGTAGATTTTCTGATGATGCCCATTCTAAATGGTGTGAGGTGATACCTCATTGTAGTTTTGATTTGCATTTCTCTAATAATTAGTGATGTTGAGCAGCTTTTCATGTGCTTCTGGGCCATCGGTATGTCTCCTTTGGAGAAATGTCTATTTAGGTCTTCTGCCCATTTTTGGATTGGGTTTTTTTTTTTTTTAATATTAAGCTGCATGAGCTGATTATATATTTTGGAGATTAATCCTTTGTCCAATGATTCTTTGAAAATATTTTCTCCCATTCTGAGGGTTGTCTTTTCATCTTGTTTATGGTTTCCTTTGCTGTGCAAAAGCTTTTAAGTTTCATTAGGTCCCATTTGTTTATTTTTGTTTTTATTTCCATTTCTCTAGGAGGTGGGTCAAAAAAGGATCTTGATGTGATTTATGTCATATAGTGTTCTGCCTATGTTTTCCTCTAAGAGTTTGATAGTGTCCGGCCATACTTACATTTAGGTCTTTAATTCATTTTGAGTTTATTTTTGTGTATGGTGTTAGGGAGTGTTCTAATTTCATTGTTTTACATGTAGCTGTCCAGTTTTCCCAGCACCACTTATTGAAGAGGCTGTCTTTTCTCCATTGTATATTCTTGCCTCCTTTATCAAAGATAAGGTGACCATATGTGCATGGATTTATCTCTGGGCTTTCTATCCTGTTCTATTGATCTATATTTCTGTTTTTGTGCCAGTACCATACTGTCTCAATTACTGTAGCTTTGTAGTATAGTCTGAAGTCAGGGAGCCCGAATCATCCAGCTCTGTTTTTCTTTCTCAAGATTGCTTTGGCTGTTCATGGTCTTTTGTGTTTCCATACAAATTGTGAAATTTTTTGTTCTAGTTCTGTGAAAAATGCCATTGGTAGTTTGATAGGGACTGCATTTTATCTGTAGATTGCTTTGGCTAGTATAGTCATTTTCGCAATGTTGATTCTTCCAATCTAAGACACAGTATATCTCTCCATCTGTTTGTATCATCTTTAATTTCTTTCATCAGTGTCTTATAGCTTTCTGCATACAGGTCTTTTGTCTCCCTAGGTAGGTTTATTCCTAGGTATTTTATTCTTTTTGTTGCAGTCGTAAAAAAGAATGTTTCCTTAATTTCCCTTTCAGATTTTTCATCATTAGTGTAAAGGAATGCAGGAGATTTCTGTGCATTAATTTTGTATCCGGCAACTTCACCAAATTCATGGATTAGCTCTAGTAGTTTTCTGGTGGCATCTTTAGGATTCTCTATGTATAGTATCATGCCATCTGCAAACAATGACAGTTTTACGTCTTCTTTTCCAATTTGTATTCCTTTTATTTCTTTTTCTTCTCTGATTGTCATGGCTAGGACTTCCAAAACTATGTTGAATAATAGTGGTGAGAGTGGACATCCTTGTCTTGTTCCTGATCTTAGTGGAAATACTTTCAGTTTTTCACCATTGAGAATGATGTTTGCTGTGGGTTTGTTGTATATGGCCTTTATTATGTTGAGATAGGTTCCCTCTATGCCCACTTTCTGGAGAGCTTTTATCATAAATGGGTGTTGAATTTTGTCAAAAGCTTTTTCTGCATCTATTGAGATGATCATATGGTTTTTATTCTTCAGTTTGTTAATATGGTGTATCACATTGACTGATTTGCATATATTGAAGAATCCTTGCTCCCCTGGGATAAATCCCACTTGATCATGGTGTATGATCCTTTTAATGTGTTGTTGGATTCTGTTTGCTAGTATTTTGTTGAGAATTTTTGCATCTATATTCAACAGTGATATTGGTCTGTAATTTTCTTTTTTTGTAGTATCTTTGTCTGGTTTTGGTATCAGGGTGATGGTGGCCTCATAGAATGAGTTTGGGAGTTTTCCTTCCTCCTGGAAGAGCTTGAGAAGGATGGGTGTTAGCTCTTCTCTAAATGTTTGATAGAATTCACCTGTGAAGCCATCTGGTCCTGAACTTTTGTTTGTTGGAAGATTTTTAAGCACAGTTTCAATTTCGTTACTTGTGACTGGTCTGTTCATATCTTCTACCTCTTCCTGGTTCAGTCTTGGAAGGTTATACCTTTCTATGAATTTGTCCATTTCTTCTAGGTTGTCCATTTTCTTGGCATAGAGTTGCTTGTAGTATTCTCTTGGGATGCTTTGTATTTCTGCGGTGTCTGTTGTAACTTCTCCATTTTCATTTCTAATTTTATTGATTTGAGTCCTCTCCCTCTTTTTCTTGATGAGTCTGGCTAATGGTTTATCAATTTTGTTTATCTTCTCAAAGAACCAGCTTTTAGTTTTATTGATCTTTGCTATTGCTTTCTTTGTTTCTATTTCATTTATTTCTGCTCTGATCTTTATGATTTCTTTCCTTCTGCTAACTTTTGGTTTTGTTTGTCCCTCTTTCTCTAGTTCCTTTAGGTGTAAGCTTAGATTGTTTATTTGAGATTTTTCTTGTTTCTTGAGGTAAACTTGTATAGCTATAAACTTCCCTCTTAGAACTGCTTTTGCTGCATCCCATAGGTTTTGGATCATCATGTTTTCATTGTCATTTGTCTCTAGGTATTTTTTGATTTTCTCTTTGATTTCTTCAGTGATCTCTTGGTTATTTAGTAATGTATTGTTTAGCCTCCATGTGTTTGTGTTTTTTATGTATTTTTCCCTGTAACTGATTTCTAATCTCATAGCATTGTGGTCAGAAAAGATGCTTGATGATTTCAATTTTCTTAAATTTACTGAGGCTTGATTTGTGACCCAAGGTGTGATCTATCCTGGAGAATGTTCCGTGCCCACTTGAGAAGAAAGTGTAATCTGCTGTTTTTGGATGGAATGTCCTATAAATATCAATCAGATCTATCTGGTCTATTGTGTCATTTAAAGCTTGTGTTTCCTTATTAATTTTCATTTTGGATGATCTGTCCATTGGTGTAAGTGAGGTGCTAAAGTCCCCCACTATTACTGTGTTACTGTCGATTTCCTCTTTTATAGCTGTTAGCAGTTACCTTATGTATTGAGGTGCTCCTATGTTGGGTGCATATATATTTATAATTGTTATATCTTCTCCTTGATCCCTTGATCACTACATAGTGTCCTTCCTTGTCTCTTGTAACATTCCTTATTTTAGAGTCTATTTTATCTGATATGAGTGTTGCTACTCCAGCTTTCTTTTGATTTCCATTTGCATGGAATATCTTTTTCCATCCCCTCACTTTCAGTCTGTATTTGTCCCTAGGCCTGAAGTGGGTCTCTTGTAGACAGCATATATATGGGTCTTGTTTTTTGTTTGTTTGTTTGTTAGTTTTGGGGGTTTTTTTGCAGTACATGGGCCTCTCACTGCTGTGGCCTCTCCTGTTGCAGAGCACAGGCTCTGGATGTGCAGGCTCAGCGGCCATGGCTCATGGGCCCAGCTGCTCCGCAGCATGTGGGATCCTCCCAGACCGGGGCACGAACCCATGTCCCCTGAATCGGCAGGTGGACCCTCCACCACTGCACCACTAGGGAAGCCCTGGGTCTTGTTTTTGTATCCATTCAGCAAGCCTGTGTCTTTTGGTTGGAGCATTTAATCCATTCACGTTTAAGGTAATCATCGATATGTATGTACCTATGACCATTTTCTTAATTGTTTTGGATTTGTTTTTGTAGGTCCTTTTCTAGAAGAAAAATAATTTCTTGAAGGCGTTGTTTGTAAACTTTTTTACATTTACTTTAATTAAAACTTTCTGTATAAAAGATATTCAAAGTTTGTATACATTTTGTGGCAGTTTAAAAAATTGGCTTCAATTTTTTTACACACCTCCCATAGAGAGGTCAGGGGGGTTGTCCATATAGTACTCTGAGTAGGCTTGAAACTTCTTCAGCCAATGAAGTAAAGTAGAAGTGACACTATATGGCTTTTAAGTCTATATCAAAAAGGCCATTCAGGTTCTGCCTTGTTCACTAGAACACTCACTCCTGAAGCCCTGAGCCACCATTTAAAAAGTCCAACTATCCTGAGGCTGCCATACTGTGAGGAAGCCTAAACCACAAAGAGAGACCACATAATAGGCATTCCAGTTAATAGGCCCAACTAAACCCAGTCTTCAGGTATTCCCAGCCCAGGCACCAGACATGTGAGTAGGAAACCTACAGATGACTCTGGACCCCAGCCAGTAAAGTCTCCCCCAGCTCTTCAAGTCTTGCCAGCAGAGACCTCAGACATCATGAACCAGAGATAAGCCATCTCTGCTGTACCCTGCCCAAATTCCTGACCCAGAGAATCCATAATGACAATAAAGTAGTTGTCACTTTATGCCACAAAATTTTGGTATGGTTTGTTATGCACAAATAGATAACTAGAATGCTTTGAATACAGTTACATTTTATTCTTTAACTTATATTACTGAAGATGATTATTAGTTAAACTAGTGATAGAAATTGTAAAAGTGGAGGGAAGGAAAAAAATGTTTAAGGGACAAAAGCAGAAAGAAGGACTTCCAGTTTTGGCAGCATAAGGGATTCAGCAACGCCTCTCTGTAATAAAACACATAAATGCTTCAAGGAGGAATGAATAGATATATTTTTCCATATTCTTGCTGGTTAAGTACAATTGAAAACTCTAGACACTGTATATAAAAAAATAAGAAGATTCTATAAGATGGAGAGAAAAAGGCAGATTGGCTAGTGACCTAGAGACCCTAGAAAAGACACAGTGATGAGTTCCCTAGGATTTATTTTTGCCTTATACATCCCAGATTTGGAGGAAGCTGGCTCTCACTCCCACCCAGCAGTAACAAGCAGTGTTGCTCCCTTGCGTATCAATGGGGACTGAGTGGGGAACCAGGACTTTCATTGCCACCTGGGAGTAATGGGGCAGCACATCCCTTCCACAGTAGTATCAGAGGAAGCTGGCTAAAAGAGAAGTAAATTAAGATACAGAGCCCCATAACATAATAACCAAAATGTCCAAGTTTTGACCAAAAATCCATCATACCTATAACCTAAGATCACAAACTGAATGACAAAAGATAATCAATAGACACCAACACAGAGATTCTAGTTTAACTCTAGTTTAAATTCTACCTTAGTTTCTAGTAAAAATTCTGATTTAAATATGCAAATATATTTAAAGTAATCATGTGAATCAGTCTTTGAGAGTTCTAATTATTATGAAAGTATGGGTAAGCTGCTAAAATATGTTACGATTTCCTTTACAAAATTATTTCTCTTACGTACGAAAGAAGTCCAGAGGTAGCAAGTCCTGTGCAGGCACAAAGTTTTTATGGGTGTCAGGGATCTGGGTTTCTTCCATTTTGCTGCTTAGCTTTACTTACATGTCTTCCCATGTTCCAAAATGACTGCTAAAGCTCCAGCCATTTCACTCAAAATTTAAGCAGCAGGATAGAGAAGGGAGGAAAAGGGGGAACAGCCTTCATTTCTCAAGAGATTTCCCTGAAGTCCCATCAGTTCATTAATGTATATCTCTTTGGTCAGAACTATATGCAAAACTCCAACTTGCTGCAATGTAGTCATCTTTCGGCTACATTGTGCTCAGTAGAAAATTGGGACTCTGTTTATTTGAGAGAAAGGAGAATGGGTATGCGGTTAGCAATTATCAGTCTACTCAAGATTCAGACTGGAGAAAAGGTGGGACTATAGACAGTCTCCAAAGGATGAAATGAGGAAGAAAAGTAAAAAAAGAAAAGAATGGAAAAGAAAAGGAATAGATACCCCTTCTGCATTAAGGAGAAGGATAACATCATAAGTGAGTTTCTATTTAGGAATGGTAGGCAGTGTCTAATTAGTATAATACTATTAATACTAACAGCTAAAGAAATTTTTTTAAGTGGTTTCAAAGTGAAAACATATTTCTTCCTTCTATAATGTATTCTTTGTTTATTAATCTCTTAATAAGCAAGGAAATTAATTCCTCCAGAGTTACTAAACTTTCGCTTTCTGTTAAACATATAGGCACCATTTATTTGACTGACTTGGATAAATGCTTGTGAACCACTGTTTAAATTACACAGTTATTGGACTTCCCTGGTGGCGCAGTGGTTAAGAATCCACCTGCCAATGCAGGGCACATGGGTTCAAGCCCTGGTCCGGGAAGATCCCACATGCCGCAGAGCAACTAAGCCCGTGTGCCACAACTACTGAGCCTGCACTCTAGAGCCCACGAGCCACAACTACTGAGCCCATGTGCCACAACTACTGAAGCCCACGTGCCTAGAGCCTGAGCTCCACAGCAAGAGAAGCCACCAAAATGAGAAGCCTGCGTACCACCATGAACAGTAGCCCCCACTCACCGCAACTAGAGAAAGCCTGCGTGCAGCAACGAAGACCCAATGCAGCCAAAAAAATAAAAATTTTTAAAAAATAAATAAATTACATAGTTATTTTAATCATGGTTATTATAAAAATTAATGATGGTTAAAAATGCATTCTGGGGAGAGAGAGTGGGGGTGGGGTGGGAATGGTTATGAAAGAACAACAGGAAGGAACTTTGTGGTGATGGAACTGCTTTGAATCTTTACTGTGGTGGTGGATGCATGAAACCACATGTGATAAAACTGCATAGAACTTAATATATGCGCACGCACGTGTAAAAGTAAAACTGGGAAGATCTGAAGAAAATGGGTGGATTGTATGAATGCCAATATTCTGGTTGTGTGTACCATAGTTTTGCAAGTTGTTATCTTTAGGGGGTGCACAGTATCTCCTTGTATTATATCCTACAACTTCATGTGAATATACACTTATCACAAACTTTAAAATTTAATTTAAAAAATATCAGTTGATGAAAATGATTCAATGCATAGTCATTGCTTATTTTCTTAAGGAAAAAAAATTGAGAAGCTTGCCTTTTTATTCTCTTAATGGCATATTTTTATTAAGAGAAGTTCTCAACTTTAATGATAAACTATTTATCAATCTTTTAATGATCAGTGATTTTTCTGTACAGTTTAAGAAATATTCGCCTTCCCCAGATCATAAGGATGTTCTCTCATGTTATCTTCTAGTAGCTTTGTTGTTTTACCTAAGTCTACAATCTATGTGAAATTGATGTTTGGGTATACATAGCTAGGAGTCAAGACACACTGTGGTCTTATGAATATCCAATTGACCCAGCATAATTTATTGATAAGCTCACACTTCCTCACTGCACTGCAGTATCACTTTTGTCATAAGTCAAAAGACTATATGTGTGTCGGTTTGTTTCTGGCCTCTATTCTTTTCTATTGGTCTATTTGTCTATCTTAGAGCCAAAGCTGTACCATATTATCCTAATAATGAGTCTATCTCAATAATAAGAGGTGATATATGGTAGGTATAGGCCCTCCAACTTTGTTCTTCTTTGAGACTCTCTTGGCTATTCTTGGCCTTTTGCAATTACATATACAGTTTACCCTTGAACAACGAGGGAGTTGGGAGTGCCAACCCCTACCCAGTCGAAAATCCACAGATCATCTAGTAACTTAGTATTTACTATCGAAAAAAATCTACATGTAAGGGGACCCACACAGCTCAAAGCCATGTTATTCAATGGTCAACTGTAAATTTGAAATCAGCTTGTCAATTTTTACCACAAACTGTCAATTTTTATTGGGACTGCACTGAATCTATACATCAATTTGGAAGAAGTAATATGTTTTCATTAAAAGTTTTCCTAGCCTGAATTTGGTGCAGCCCTCCATTTATTTAGGTTTTCTTTAATTCCTCTCAGAAATAGTATATAGTTTGATATGAAGAGATCTTGCACTATTTTAGATTTATTCATAGGTATTTAATTTTTTATATTATTATAAATTTTATCACCTAAAATTTATTATTTTCTAATTTATTATTGCTATAATATAGGAATACAATTGAGTTTTATACACTGACCTTGTATTTATCCTTTCCATTGCTCTTAATTTATTCCTGCATTTCTGTGCTTCCATCTGGGATCATTTTTCCTTGAGCCTGAATAACTCCCTTTAACAATTCTTTGTGTGGGTCTGTAACAAAAAAGTTTTTTTTCTCAATTTTCATTTTCTAAACACATTTGTATCTTCATTTTGAAGTCTATTTTGCTGGGTATAGATTTCTAGGTTAACTTCTTTCAAAACATTATTCCACTTTTCATGGATTTCCTTATTTCTGTTAAAAAGTCAGGTGTGAGTCTTATTATTGCTCTTTTGAAAGTAATATGTCCTTTTTAAACTATATTTTTGGTAGATCTGTGGAGGAGGGAATGTTGGGTGTGCAGCTTGATAAAGGGAGTTGATACCAGTCTTCAAGATGTGGGGCCTCTCTCTCTTCCCCCTAGTTGTCAAAAGCCATCAGGGCCCTGTCCTATCTTTTTAACAAAAGTGCCTACATGACTGTCCCTGCCTTCTTTAGGAGCAAGTTCTTCGATCCACTGCTTTCACATGGAAGCAAGGTTGAGAGGCTGACCTATCTGACTCTTCCTACAGTGGTACCTCAATCAATAACTCAATTGTCCAAGGGCCCTACAGATATCAATAGCTTCTTTCTGTGTGCTTAGAACACCCCCAAGAGCCACTCCTACTTCTATATTAAGCCTCTGTTTATGCAACTTTTGTTTGTCCAACTATATTCCAGTCCCATTGGCCTTCTTTTTTCAAAGATTGTCATAATATCTGGGCCATTGAGAGCACTCCTTCATGTTTTTCAATATCAACGTATGTGCATGGATGCATATGAGAGGGTGTATTCATCTAACTTTCCTGTAATTTTTAGAGACTTTCTAAAGAGGGGAGGAGTCAGGAGAGGCTAGAACTTGTTCTCAGTCTGCCATCTTGATTCAACCTCTTGGTTAAATTTCTAAGCACATATTGAACTCTTTTAGTACCAAACACAGACAGCTGCTAGTATCATATGATCTTTTTTGGAAATCTCTGCTTCTGAGGTGATATCATATTAAGCTATTTCAATTTAAGACTCAATCCCCATGTTGAAATTGGCATCTGCATGACACATGTGAATAAGTTTCATTGTCATTCCTCAAAATTATCTTCCAGATTTTAATACCTCAAAAGACCTGAGAGTTCCACATTACAGAGATTCCCAAAAACATATCACAACAAAATATAAATAATATTTTTGCTCAACTATAACAAAAAAGAGTATTTAAAAAATATATAAAGTGCTAAAATTCAAAAATAAGAAAAAGCAACTCAGTAATCTTGAAATGTTATTTCCCTACACTCAACCCTGAAATTACTTCAATCAACAGGCTCTTTTGCCAACACTAATAAATTCATTAATAACTTATCATTGATTTACCACTGATTGAGAATTAAAGAGTAAAATGCAAACTTGGAAATCTAAAATGGTCTCCAATTGGTTTACAATAGAAATTTTATATAAATAAATGCAATCCTGAAATCATATAAACACTAAATATTCATAGCAGCTAAATCTAAAGAGTTCAACAAAACAATCTTTTAAAAAATATTTAATGCATACCTAACATGTCCTAGGCACTGTTCTAGGCAGGGGATACAAACAGTGAACAAAACAGACAAAACCCTCTGCTTTGTGGAGCTTATATTCTGATAAATGCATATAATTTGAATAATATGAACGTGGCCTTTTCCTACAGAAATTACTAAAAAGGTAGATAAATATTTTATGCCCAAACACAAATATAGATAGCTCTTATAGCAGTCCAACACACAATCACATAAAAAGATTTTGAGAACGTTTATAACACAGAGATACATTTAGCCACTGACTTCAAAACAACAGAATATCAATATCTTGTCAGAGAATGTGAGCAAGGTCAGGTGCCCTAAAATTTATCTGCCTAAGCGATTCACTTGGAAAAGAAGGTATTAGCTAGGTTTTGGTAAGGGTATTAGATGTTAGGTAACTCTTAACAGATCTTAATTTATATCCCCAACCAAGCAATTGAAATAATCCAGATATCAGGACTGTGCAGATTGACAAAAACAGTGAGTCTAGCAGGAACAAGATTTTGATATCCTAGAGTTGTACTATCCAATATGCTAAATACGAGTCATGTGTGGTTAACTTTGAATTAATTAAAATTTTAAAAGTCAGCTCCTCAGTCACATTAGCCACACGTCAAGTGCGCAGCAGCCACATATAGCCTGTAGCTGCAATACTGAACAGTGTACATACAGAACACTTCCCACACTGCAGAAAGTTCTATTGGACAGTACTGTTCTAGGGAATCAGAAGAGGCACACGACTCCTGGGAAAAAACAAAACTTTCTAAAGAGGGCGACAAAAAGTGGCAATTTAAGGAATTCCTTGGCAGTCCAGTGGTTAGGACTTGGCATGCTCAGTGGCAGGGGTCTGGGTTTGATCCTTGATCGGGGAATCGGGGAACTAAGGTCCCTCAAGCCCCGCGGGGCAGCCAAAAAGAAAAAAAAAGAAGTGGCGATTTATAATAATAGCAAAAAATAAGTTTTCTTCTCCGTCCCTTGGCTATTTTTTAAATTTAAAGAAGTTCTCAGTGTGACCGTCAGTGTGATTTCCTCCCTAAGATTATCCTTTAGAAAAAGATTCTCAGACCTCCCTGGTGGCGCAGTGGTTAAGAATCCGCCTGCCAGTGCAGGGGACATGGGTTCGAGCCCTGGTCCGGGAAGATCCCACATGCTGCGGAGCAACTAAGCCCGTGCGCCACAACTACTGAGCCTGAGAGCTAAAGCTACTGAGGCCTGGGCGCCTAGAGCCCGTGCTCCACCACAAGAAAAAAGCCACCGCAATGAGAAGCCTGCGCACCGCAACGAAGAGTAGACCCCGCTCGGCGTAACTAGAGAAAGCCCATGCGCAGCAACGAAGACACAACGCAGCCAAAACTAAAATAAACAACAAAAAATTTCGCCTGCCAATGTAGGGGACACGGGTTCGAGCCCTGGTCCAGGAAGATCCCACATGCTGCGGGGTAACTAAGCTCGTGCGCCACAACTACTGGGCCTGCAATCTAGAGCCCACGAGCCAAAACTACTGAGCCTGTGTGCCACAACTACTGAAGCCCGCGTGCCTAGAGCCCATGCTCCGCAACGAGAAGCCACCGCAATGAGAAGCCCACGCATGGCAAGGAGGAGTAGCCCCCGCTCCCCTGCTTGCTGCAACTAGAGAAAGCCCCCACGCAGCAATCTAGGGCCAATGCAGCCAAATAAGTAAATAATAAAATTTTAAATAAATAAAACGAGATCTCTAAAAATGGGCTCATACTTAAAAAAAAGAAAGAAAGAAAGGAAAGGATTCTCACCGTTAGAATCCGGAGTGAAAAAGATACGCAATTCTAGTTGCAGCCTCTGAGGCTTCCCTCTATCAAGGAAGGGCTCTACCCTCTGGGCCGCGAAGTCTGCGCACACTGGGCATTGGGCTGAACTCCTACTGCCACTCAGCGGAGAGAAGAGACAAGGGCTCCTTTGCCAGTTTGGCGGTTGCCGAGCGACGGAGACAGTGCCGGGTTTGGCCTAAGGAGGAGGGCGCAGACTGAAAGATGCTGAAGGATCTGTAACAACGCCGCCTTCTATTGGCTGAAGAGCGCTCGGCCATTGCCATGAGCCAATGAGCAGACGCATACGGATGACGTCAGACGACATGCGACTCCTCCCACCCACTCTCTAGCGACGCGTCTAGAGACCACCGAAACCCACCTCAAACCATTTGGTGGAGACGTCTGTATTACTGCATGTTTACCTCGCAGCTCGCGCTGCTGTATGTGTTCTTCCTGATGGTCCCCGAGGGCGTCCGGCCTCAGCCATCTCCGTCCCCGTCTGGGGCAGTGTCCACCCAATCGGACCTGGGGCCAAGGACGCAGGGCGAGACCCTTCAATCCTCCTCGGAGGTACCTGGCGTCTCTACAGTGAGTCCTACTGTCGTGACTCCCTCGGCGCCTGGGAATAGGACCGTGGATCTCTTCCCAGGTGAGGGGAGAGGATGCGGGATTGGAAACTGCTGACTTAGATCCAAATTCTGTGAACAAAGTGAATTCCCATAAAGTAAGGAGTGGGGCTGTTGGCAGAAGGGGAATTAACACTTGGAAGAGTTTGGGGATGCACACCCCATTTGCTCTGCTTTATGTTGTACTTTTATAGTCTTACCGATTTGTGTCTGTGACTTGACTCCCGGTGCCTGCGATATGAATTGCTGCTGCGACAGGGACTGCTATCTGCTCCATCCCAGGACAGTTTTCTCCTTCTGCCTTCCAGGCAGCGTGAGGTGAGCTGCGATGCTCAGGTTGAATCCTAAAGGGGATTGGGGCAATAGAATAAGTAACATTTGGAAGTAGGAAGAGTTAGCCTTCGTGCCTCCCATCCCCACTTCCACTCCTGGGAATGGAACTACCTTGGTTTTTCCCAGGAGAGCCGTTCCACTTATGGTGCTCTAGAGCAGGGCTGGCCAATAGAATAGAACCTTCGTATTGTCCTGTGGCTGCCCAAGGAGTCCTATCTTTGGCATCTGACTGATACCGGTGGGGCACCCTTCTTTGGACCTAATCCTCATTCTAAATGTATCTATTCTCCCTCCTGTTTCCTCAGGTCTTCAAGTTGGGTGTGTGTAGACAACTCTCTTATCTTCCGAAGTAATTCCCCGTTTCCTTCAAGAGTTTTCATGGATTCAAATGGAATTAAGCAGTTTTGTGTCCATGTGAACAACTGTGAGTAGAAATATGTTGGCTATTCCTATTGCCTAACATTTACTGAGGGTTAGCTTAGTCTCTGACGTTTATTCCTTTTCTTTGTTTTTTAAACTTTTTTCCCCCCCTTTGGATCTCTATCATGCTCCCTCTCCTTCCACCTGTCCCCCTGCCCCTTCTGTTTTCTCTTATTAGTGAACATTGGCAATCTCTTTTGCCCTCTTGGCTGTGGATCAGAAAGCCCATACAGAACTTTAATTTCAGTCAGCCCTCTTAGCTCAGAGGATTACAGATAGACTATGTCTCCCACTTTCTACAATCTCCATGAAGGGGCTCACTGAATCCCCAGTGCCTGACATAAGAGGCACCAAATAATACGAGTGAATGTCTTTGACAAATGAGTCTACATCAACCTTGTTTTTATTTTAAGAGGCAACAATATAGGGGAAAGAGCATTTGACTTGGGTCTCAGCCCTTCATTTACTTACCAGCTGCAGTCTTGAACAAATTTCCAGGCTCATTTCTTCAACTGCAGAATGAGAAATAATATCACTAATTCTGAATGTGAAAGTGCTCTATAACTGTAGAGTGCAATAAAAATGAAAGGTAGTTGTTATTAAGGTTTTTAAATAGACTTAGATGGCTTCTGGGGTGGCGCGGTGGTTAAGAATCTGCCTGCCAATGCAGGGGACACAGATTCGAGCCCTAGTCTGGGAAGATCCCACATGCTGTGGAGCAACTAAGCCTGTGCGCCACAACTACTGAACCTGCGTGCCACAACTGCTGAAGTCCGTATGCCTAGGGCCCGTGCTCCACAGCAGGATAGGCCACCGCAGTGAGAGGCCTGTGCACCGCAGGGAAGAGTGGGCCCCGCTCGCCGCAACTAGAGAAAAGCCCAGCAGCGAAGCAGGCAGCGAATACCCAACACAGCCTAAATAAATAAATAAATAGACTTAAAAATTTGTTGGTGATGAGTATAACATTTTTAAAGATGTACATCTAATATATCTTTTTTTAATTTATTGTCTAAGAAGCAAGATAATGTTCTCACATAAAATAGACTTAAATGTCCCTTACACTCTGGAAGTCAGCTCATCCTGGTTTCATCTGTTAGAAAATAAATTGCAAAACTATATTTGTTTCCTAAAGCAACCAAGTTTGGGTTTGAGGGGACTTGAATTTGGAAGCAGTTATCAGGAGCCTTGCGGCCATTCAGGTTGTGAGAAGGTAAAGGGAGCAAGGCAAATGCTGCACTTTAAGGCTGCAGGGCTTCCCTGTTGGCGCAGTGGTTGAGAGTCTGCCTGCTAGTGCGGGAGACACGGGTTCGAGCCCTGGTCTGGGAGAGTCCCACATGCCGCAGAGCAGCTAGGCCCGTGAGACACAACTACTGGGCCTGTACGTCTGGAGCCTGTGCTCTGCAACAAGAGAGGCCGCGATAGTGAGAGGCCCGCGCACCGGGATGAAGAGTGGCCCCCGCTTGCCACGACTAGAGAAAGCCCTCTCACAGAAACGAAGACCCAACACAGCAAAAATAAATAAAAAATAAATTAATAAAATAAAGCTGCAGCTTTGCCATCCTTTCCAAATCTCCTGTTGCTTTCTAGTTCTAGCCTCATGAAAATGCTCCAGGGATATTGCAGTAGCGTTCAACTGGTGCTGCCTGCTTTTAATCCCCTCCTGCTTCCCATGCTATACTGTTTCCAGACCAGTGTTTCTGAACTTTCTTTCCCCAGCAACACCTGAGAGTCACTCCTTTAGAACTTATATGATACTTTGAATTGTTATCATTTTATATGAATGTTGTGTCTCCCCAGGTAAGTTGTCGGCGCATAGAAAGGATGGACCATATCTTTGCCCACGGTGCTTAATATTTGCTGATAATAATCATCAGTAACAGACATTGTTAGAGGCTGTAAAACATGATGGAGTGGGAAAAATCCTAGACCAGGAATCGGGAGATCTGTGATCTACTCCTGGCTCTGCCAGATGGCTCTGTGGCCTTTTGCAACTCATTTACCTCTTAGGATCGAAATTTCCTAATGGAATTGGACCAGATGATCTCTGGGCTTCCTTCCACATCTGAAATTGTATCAATCTAAGTCTAAATACCTTTAAGCCCTGTTGGGTATAATATACCATATATGATGGTAGAAATTTTAGGTAGAAATTCTATTTATCCTTAGCCTGCGCTTCTTATCTGCATTATTCCTGCTTACCATCACTACCACCAATATCCCTGCACTACAGTGAGAGACAAAATGTTAACGTTCTCTTACTCTTTTAAGCCATGAAAAAAATATTCAGATGGATATTATCCATCTCAACGTACTTTTTTTTTTTTTTTTTTTTTTGGTACACGGGCCTCTCCCTGTTGTGGCCTCTCCCGTTGCGGAGCACAGGCTCCGGACGCGCAGGCTCAGCGGTCATGGCTCACGGGCCCAGCGGCTCCGCGGCATGTGGGATCCTCCCGGACCGGGGCACAAACCCCTGTACCCTGCATCAGCAGACGGACTCTCAACCACTGCGCCACCAGGGAAGCCCGTCAACGTACCTTCTTTTTTAGCTTAACTTTTCTTTCATTTATAAAGATAGAAATAACTACATTTTTTAATGAGGTAAGTATTTCTTCCATGTGGTTTTCAGGGAATGAGTTCTGAAGGAAATATTAAACAGCTCCTGGAAGCTTTAAAATTTGAACATTTCGGATCAGAGATGGAAGAAGGTGGTCTGCAGACCAGCAGCACTAGCATCACCTGTTCCAGAGCAAGGCTTTTCAATCCTAATATGCACCCACATCACCTGGAGATCTTGTTAACATGCACATTCTGATTCAGTAGTTCTGGAGCATGGCTTAAGATTCTGAATTTCTGACAACATCCCAGGTAATGCTGGGGCTGCTAGTCTGTACACCACACTTTGAGTAATAAAGATCTAGGAGACAGATAGAAAGTGAGTAGCCTGAAAGGCCCCAGAATTGAGAGTTATCTTCATTTCGTGTTCCATCAGAAAGCTGAAAAGTCAAATGAGTAGGACTTTGTGATCACAGAGGATAAAGGTCAAGCTTATGTTATATGGCATCTTCATTAGCTTTTGGTGATACATGTCTTGATTTCCTTTTGAATATGTCCAAATGACCGTAATTATGAAAAAAGAAAGAGAATAGTATGGGCCAATTTTCTGCTACATCCCTTTTTCAAGTTAGCAGAAAACTTGGGTGGTAAAGCAGAGTGTTGTTCATTACAGGCCACCCTCTGGGCAGGGGAGAATGTCAGAGGCTTTTACCTACATCTCTCTCCTGGTTCTGAAGTGCCATAAGGAGATGGCTGCAGGAGCTTGGATAGATTTATACATTGCTATAATATAAATTACAGAATTGTTAGAGAAAATACCCTTTGAGTGTATTTGAAAAATCTTGAATGTAGAAATTATAAGGTGAAAGGAATAAAATACAACAAATCCATATACTTGAGAGATGGAAGCCTTATTATGAGGACTGGTTAGTTGAAGTTTAGAGGAGATTGGAAGACTTGGAGAGGACAAGTCAAATATTGTCTCCAACTCTGCCATCTTCCTATGGAAACAGTACCATTTTGTTGTACTAGAGACTCCTCTGGTATGGGACAAATGTGTGCATTACTGAGACTCCTATTTTCATCACAAATTGCTAATCATACACATTCCTGGCATCAGAGGCATGGAACTGACTGGCATTCGTTGGTCGTATTCTTATCTCAGATCTTAATACTAAAGCAATAATTGAATTAACAAATTACAAATAAATTATTAGGTGATAGAAGTCAAAATCGTTATTATCTCTGAAGATGGCGTATTGATTGGGAACCTGGGAAAATGTTCTGAGTGGTAGTAATAAAAGTGTATAAATGTTTAAAATTCTTTGAGTTTATGCTTAAGATTAGTGCATTTGCATACTTTACTGTGTATATTTTACGCCTCAATAAAAATATTTTTAAAGATTAGTTTCTTGGTATGCCAGATACTTTAAAATGATTTTATTTTATCTAAACCCCTTTTCTTTTTAAAATTATTTTAGCAAAATTAACCTATTTCCAGAAGCTCCAAAAGGTCAATGCAACCAGCTTCCAGGCCCTGGCTACAGAGTTTGGAGGTGAATCATTCACTTCAACATTCCAAACCCAGTCACCGCCACCTTTTTACAGGGTGAGCCTACGAAAGGGGGAGGGATCGTTTGGTTTTGTTTTTCCCCACATACTGACAATTGACGAGGTATCGTTGAGATACCCACCTGCGACTAGGTAAGCCACTGTCAGCTCTTTTGGAGGGCAGTATTGTCCATGTTAACAACCTATTGAGTTAACTTGTTTCTGCTTATTCTTTTCTGGTGGAGTTAGTCCAATCTCGCTGTGAATAAATTTCTGCTGTACTTTGTTTAGGCTGGGGACCCCATTCTGACTTACTTCCCCAAGTGGTCTGTAATAGGCTTGCTGAGGCAGCCTGCAGGAGTCGGAGCTGGGGGACTCTGTGCTGAGAGCAATCCTGCAGGTGAGCCTGGAGTACAAGCGCCAGCCTTTCTGTTCAGTTTAAAATAGGCTTTCTCATGTACCACTCCCTTATTTCTAAGGTTTCCTGGAGAGTAAAAGTACAACCTGTGCTCGTTTCTTCAAGAATCTGGCAGATAGCTGTACCTTGGATCCCACCCTCAACGCTGCCTCTTATCATAACTTCACAGTCTTGAAGGTGGGTGTTCCTTCTCTCCCCGCACTGTCACCGCTGTGGACTTAAAAAGTTATCATGCTTCCCACAAGCACTGAACTGGAAGTCAGGATGCCCAAGAGCTATGTAGAAGGCAGAGGGCCTAAAAGCCCTGTCATCTGAAGAAAGATGAAAGAAGTAGGGATAGATAGGATAAGAGGTTCTCACCTTTCTGGCTAGTGGAATTTGCTAGGGGAGGTAGGATGGGGTGACATCTCACTATTTCACCAAAACTTCTTGCTTTTGCTGTTTGTTAGAGCTCTACTCAGAGTAGGTGGGCATCACAGTCCATCCAACCTCCACTGAGCCCTGCTTCTGGCATTTTAGTGTACGGAAGAGTCAGGTAGAAAAAAAATGTTGATTTTTTTTTCCCCCCAAATGAGAAACCACAAGCTCCTGGAGATTTTATGTTAAGATATATGCACACTCATGTCCTTGCTGTTCTCTTATACTAGGTTCCAAGAGGTTTGAGTGATCTGCAGAATACAAAGGTATGATGCTTTTTATCAGGAAAAACGAAAGAGAATATTTGGTCCCTTTACATCTGAGGCAGTCTCACTCTAGATTGTAATGGTGAAAGAGAATGTGTTTGTGATGCATCAGACTGTTCAAGTATGAGTCTAAAAGAGTGTTTTTCTTTTTGTTCTATATAATTAATAAGCATCATATGAAATAAGAATCATAAGGTATTAGGTAAGTTTGAGAAACTTCGGGTAAATAAAGTTAAACATTATATTTAGGATGGACTACTTGAAATCTTTAATATACTAGAGGGTCTTCTTAATCTCTAAGAGGGAAGTGCCAGATATAGTATTTCTAAAACTTATTTGACCATGGAACCTTTATTTTATATCTAATAGAAGTAATGTTCCAAAAAATATGTTTCGAGAAGTGCTAAATTAGAATGACTTTTGAACTTAAGTTGTAGACTGGCAATGGAAGGAGAGAGGAAGGTGATGGTCAAAAAGGAAAAAATACTCATTTCAGCATAATATGTAACTAGAAGAAAAAGTGCTGCTTTCAATTTTAATTGATTTGCCTCTTTCCCTTGCTAGTTCCAGGTGCCTGTAACACCTGTCTCACAGGCTGACTCTCCTCTGTTGGCTGGAAACACTTGTCAGAATGTTGTTTCCCAGGTAGGGACGCTGACCTCAGATTCTGGACTGATGTATGTTGATCAGCATTAGCAGAGGTGCTTCATCTTCCATTAAGTACCAGGCCAACCCCATGTGAATTTTTGTGCATTACCTGAAACTTAACACATCAAGGACTGAGCCCATCACCTTCCTCCCCACATGTTTCAGTCATTTCCATTGCTGCCGTCGTGCATTTCACATCCAGAACATTAAAATTATTTCTGGTTCCTCTTTCTTTGCCGATGTGCAGTCTGTTATGGTTTTTACTGACCACAATTTCTTTTATTGACAAAGTCAGTATCATCTGAATCTCTGAAATAGACTAGTCAACTTCTTTTCCTTTATTCTCTCTCTTCTAATCAACCAACAAAAGTAAGAATTATTGGAAAGCATCATTTTAAAAACTATGCTCAGAAATCTCAGGTTACCTTCACGTTTTCATGACTTCCGTCTCCAGCTGCCATCTTTATTCATCCTCGGACATTGTGAGAGCCAGGCAAACCAGGTTTCCATTCCATGCTCACCTCTGCCTGTGCTTCTACTCACCTCCTCTGCACAAGATCAAAACTTAGTTTTCTTCCCTTTCAGTTCTTACTGTAAACTCACCTCTCCCATGAACTCTTTCAAAGAGCTCCATCCAGTCTTTTTTTCATGTGTAGATATAATATGAAGTCAAATTTTATCTTTTCATGGTATTTGTATTTGGCATTTTTAAGATTACTTTTTTAGTCTCTCTCATCCAGTTACTTTTTAAAATTGAGATGTAATTGACATATAACATTGTATTAGTTTTAGGTGTACAACATAATGATTTGATGCACATATATACTGTGAAATGATCATCACAATAAGTTTAGTTAACATTCATTACCACACATAGTTAACAAATTTTTTTCTTGTGATGAAAACTTTTAAGATCTGCTTTCTTAGCTACTTGCAAATATATAATGCAATATTGTTAACTACAGTCACCATTCTGTTCCCTCATTCAGTTACAGTAAAACCCTTAAAGACAGGAAATCTTCTGTCCTAAACATAATTGGCCCACAAAATAACTTAATTGATTCTACTTTTGTATTTCAGGTCATCTATGAGATAGAAACCAATGGGACATTTGGAATCCAGAAAGTCTCCATCAGTTTTGGGCAAACCAACCTGACTGTTGAGCCAGGCACTTCATTCCAGCAACACTTCATCATTCACTTCAGGGTTAGGGCCCTTCTCCTACAGGGGATCAAGAAGAAAGAAATATCGGGTTAGAAGTAGCTCCCCTGCTTCTGTAACACATGCAAGATAGAATAAGAATATGAAGGACTAGTTCAATCTGTCAACTGAAGCCTCAACATTTAATATTCCATAATTTAACTTCAAGTGATAAGGATTCAACAGTGTTTATTCATTAGCATGTTCCCCCAGCAAAGCAGGACTTCACTCACAAATCCAAACTCTTTTTTTAAATAGTCATTTTGAATCATAAACTCAACTAATATCCCACAAAAATTCTTTAACTAGCTTTTTTCATGTTTCTGGGCATTCAGCGTTTTACTCATTTCCCACTTAATCTAAGTTTCCAGTCTTGATCACCACGTTTTGGCTTTCTTCTACTTTCTTTCTTTTTGAACCCAGCAGAGTCCAGTTTCTCCTCAACTCTACCCTCAAATGATCAACCAAATCCCATGTCTCTCAGAGTTCATCTATGGAACATCTGTAGTTAATTAAAATATATTTCTAAATTACATTTAAACTCCTCTGGTTTTAGCCACGCTGAACATAGCCCTAAATTAATAGGAATTTTGAAATACAGGATTGATAAATCGTTGATAGATCTTTAGTTGTAATCCTTGGTAGAAGTAGCATGTAGTGAACATCAATGTTCAGATCCTCAGGATTTAGTTTAGTGAATAAAAAACAGTAAAAGATGCTGAAGTATCAATTTCTGCAAAATGCTGCACTGTGGAAGGAAGCCAGATTGTTCAGTGCAGCTAACCTACAGCATTGCCTAAAGGAAGGGTATGAAGCCACACTGGAAGGTGGGAGAGCATGCTTTTCTCCATATTGACTTTTCCTTCACTCTTTCTGCAGGCTTTTCAACAGAGCACAGCTGCTTCTCTTACTGGTTTTAGAAGTGGGAATCCTGGCTATATTGCTGAGAAGCCACTCCTGGCTCTAACCGGTGATAGAAGACACTCAGTATCCTTTTTTGGGTCTCTGGGTGGCCTATTGCAGCCTAATGAGAAAAGCTTTAACTACTGATCTTTTGGATTTTCCAATTCTGAGGTTCCCCCATTTTTTAGGTATTGAGGACTTCCTTTACTAAACTATTAATACATTAGGATCTCAAATGTTGATGCTACCAAAGGCTTTAGAACTTACATTAGCCTGGCCAAAGGTGAGGATCCTGACTGAATTTTGTTTGTTTTAATGAAATATTTATATGCTGGTGTGTGGTCATCCATTTTTGGAAAAACAATAATTGTTTCTCTATGTTTTCATTGCCAGAGGAAAAAAAATTGTGACTTGAATAATATATTAATGAAGTACAAAAAGCGTTAAGGAAGGGCTTCCCTGGTGGCGCAGTGGTTGAGAGTCCGCCTGCCGATGCAGGGGATGCGGGTTCGTGCCCCGGTCCGGGAAGATCCCACATGCCGCAGAGCGGCTGGGCCCGTGAGCCATGGTCGCTGAGCCTGCGCGTCCGGAGCCTGTGCTCCGCAACGGGAGAGGCCACAACAGTGAGAGGCCTGTGTAATGCAAAAAAAAAAAAAAAAAAGGCATTAAGGAAATAAGCATAAATTTTCCAATCTGCCTACTTTTTTTTCTTTTATGATCTCCTTGACCATCACCTTCCACCTCAGATGACCCTCTTACAGAGCAAGGGTGATGGAACTTGCTCTACTAAGAGACATGAAGTACAATTTGGAGTGAATGCTATATCTGGATGCAAGCTCAGGTAATTCTCTGCTTCCACATCATTTCCAACAAATTTGTCTCTGCCTGTAGGGAATATGTTGATGTGGCAACTTTTATATTTTGAAATCAGGGTTCAGAGAATGCTAGTTAGGAGTAATGTTTAAATAATATTAATATTACTAAGAGTTTTTTTTGACAGTCCTTTATATCTGCTAAGGATTATTTCCTTCCGTTTATTTTGAGATATCATTTCTAATGTTTGGATGAATTACATTATTATGTTAGCATTGGACTCCAGCCTCCGTGGTGTTTCATTTCAGGCTGAAAAGGGTGGACTGCAGCCACTTGCAGCGGGAGATTTATCAGACTCTTCATGGAAGTCCCAGACCAGAGCACGTTGCCATCTTTGGTAATGCTGACCCAGCCCAGAAGGGAGAGTGGACCAGGATCCTCAGCAGGAACTGCAGTGTTTCAGTAAGGAGAGAAATACACATTCTGACCAAAGCTCACTTTCCTCTTTTGTTTATTAAGATTAAAACCAGCCCTGTTTCCATGGTTGATTTGGTTGTCATAGAAGAAAGATAATGTGGTTGTCATAAAGAAAGAATATAAGAAATCATGCCCATTTGAAGTCATTATTTCAGGTTAGGTTTATACATAACTTTCCTCACTCAGAGAAAAATTTGAAGGTAGGAAGTCTAGAGATTGGCCTCTGGTTCAAAATCAATCTTACTCATAATAGGAGAAAAATAAACTAAATATATTTCATATATATTTCAAATATTCTCTTACATTCTTGAATATTTGGTCAGCACAGATTCTTTCTTTGAGGTTGAAATTGTGTTCCTTGTGTTATAAAACATTTTTACATTTACGTTTAGTAAAAATACATTAACAGGGTAAAAATTCAAACCATGTAGAATAGTGTTAATGAAAAGTAAAAACCTCAGTACCCACTGCCCCTGAAGAAATCTCATTTAGCTGTTTCTGTTTTTACTTTTTCTGGTGGCCACTACATCAGTGCTCAGCAGGTGTACCTCTTGATTCCAGTCTAAGTAAAATAGGGAAATCTGTGTGTGTCTAAGTAAAATAAAGAAATCTTTCTTCTTCCTCTTTTGCCTACCCCCTACCTCCTGGCTTTAATCAACTGTACCTTTCATTTTATTTCCTTTCACTTAAACTTTTTAATTGTTTATTTTTCTGTATAAATAATACATACACTTGGCTCAAAATTCCAAAAGTACAAAATAAAACTCTCTCTCAGACAACTCTTCCCTTCCACAGAGGCAAACGAAGTTACTAGTTTCTTTCCTTCTAGAGATATTGCATGCTCACACAAGAAAATACTCATATTCTTTTTTTTAATCCAAATGCTATAATATCATAAACACAGCTCTGCACTTTGCTTTTTTCACTTGACCTTCAGAGTTTATTCCATATCAGTATATAATAAGCTTCCTCATTCTTTGCATGGTATAGTTGCATACTATTCCATTATATGGATGAACCATAAATAATTTATTTAGCCAGTTTTATTGGCGAACATTCAGGTTGTTTTCAGCCTTTTGCTGTTACAGTGTGGCATTTTATTTTATTTTATTATTTTTTAAAATAAATTTATTTATTTATTTTTGGCTGCATTGGGTCTTCGTTGCAGTGCGCAGGCTTCTCATTGCAGTGGCTTCTCTTGTTGCGGAGCACAGGCTCTAGGTGCACAGGCTTCAGTAGTTGTGGCACGTGGGCTCTAAAGCACAGGCTCAGTAGTTATGGTGCACAGGCTTAGTTGCTCCGTGGCATGTGGGATCTTCCCAGACCAGGGCTCGAACCCATGTTCCCTTCATTGGCAGGTGGATTCTTAACCACTGCACCACCGGGGAAGTCCTTTTTTTAAATTTTATTTTATTTTATTTTTTTGGCTGTGTTCAGTCTTTGCTGCTGTGCACGGGCTTTCTCTAGTTGCGGCGAGCAGGGGCTCCTCTTCATCGTGGTGCATGGGCTTCTCATTGTGGTGGCTTCTCTTGTTGCAGAGCACAGGCTCTAGGCATGTGGGCTTCAGTAGTTGTGGTGTGTGGGCTCAGTAGTTGTGGTGCACGGGCTTAGTTTCCCCACGGCATGTGGGATCTTCCCAGACCAGGGCTCAAACCTGTGTCCCCTGCATTAGCAGGCAGATTCTTAACCACTGCAAGTGTGGCATTTTATAACCTGGTTCAGGCACCATTTCATACATGTGAAAATAAACCTATATGATAAATCCTAGAAGTAGAATTGCTAGATCAAAAGGTATATGCAGGGCTTCCCTGGTGGCGCAATGGTTGGGAGTCCGCCTGCTGATGCAGGGGACACGGGTTCGTGCCCCTGTCCGGGAAGATCCCACATGCCGCGGAGCGGCTGGGCCCGTGAGCCATGGCCGCTGAGCCTGCGCGTCCGGAGCCTGTGCTCCGCAACGTGAGAGGCCACAGCAGTGAGAGGCCCGCGTACCGCAAAAAAAAAAAAAAAGGGTATATGCATTTAAATTTTTAATAAATATTGCCAATTTATTTCCCATCAGGTTGTACCAATTTACAGTCCCACTATCCATCTATGAGGTGGCTTGTTACCCCATACTCTCCTCAACACTGAGTTATCAAACTTTTAATCTTTGCTCATCTGATAAGTGAAAAATAGCATTCCATTGTAGTTTTATTTTTCTCTTGCTGTGAATAAGGTTGAGTATCTTGACATATAGTTGAACAATTCGTGTTTTCTTCACTATGATCTATTTATATCTCTTGCCCGTTTATTGATTACTTGTCTTATAACTTGTAGAAAATCTTTGTATTTGAGAAATTGGCTCTTTTCTGTTGTATGATTTGTAGATATTATTTTCCCAGTTTGTCATTTGTCTTTTGACTTTGTTTATGGCTTTCATGCCATGCAGAAATTGATTTTCATATTGTGAGATTTATCAATCTTTTTTTTTTTTTCCAACTTTCACGTTTTGGTTCAGACTTTGAAAGGCCTTTCCCCTTAGAGATTATTTATAAAATGCCCCCTTTCCCTTTCTCAGCACTATTATGACTTGATTCCTTGTATACTTCTTTCCTTTAATGAGACTTGGGGGATAAGTAGCTACATGTACTTGATCCAGCCTTTGGGGAACTGCAGTCAAACTGAGTTCTCTTAAACTTCATACAGCCATACTGAGGGAGTGTGGTTTTCGGTAATACATGGCTGAGTACAGAAAAGGGATGGTTAGTGACAAGGATTGAGATTATAGTGGAACTACTCTTTATTATTCTTAAACCTACTATTTATATTTTTAAATCACATTTTTGAAGGATATTTGATAACATGGAAAATTTTTCCTGATGTAGGTAGAATAAATGAAAGGAAAAGTATTTTAAAATATTTGGAACAAACACATGAAAAGATTTTCAACATCATTAGCCATTAAGGAAATGCAAAACCCCAAAGAGATACCACTTCATACCCACTGGGATGGCTATAATTTTAAAAATGGACAATAACAAGTGTTGGCAGGAATGTGGAGAAATTGGAACCCTCAGACATTGTTGGTGGTACTGCAAAATGGTGGAGCCGATTTGGAAAAGAGTTTGACAGTTCCTTAATAAATTGAACATAAACATAGTCTGTCTTCCCCTAGTCCTAGTTTAGACATGTTATTGCCTGTGTCTGAGCCTTACTATAAAAAGTATGAAGTTAGAAAAGCACAGGCATATTTGAGGATAGTTTGTATCTGCTAAGTTATAGTAACCTCCTGATTTGTGTCTTCACTTCCATCAGTGCTACCTGCATCTTGGAATTAATCCTCCTGGGGGTCACACTGCTTGGTTGGACTTCATAATCTAACCCTGAAATGTCCTTCCTTAATCTTTTCACTGTTCCTGTGTTCAAATCCTTTGCTTCAGTCAAGTGATCTGCTCAAGGCCAGTGCCTCACACATGTCTGGCACATAGGAGACACTCAGTAACTATTCTAATTAATCAGCAACTGTCCCTCAGTGGCATCATATGCTGTTCTAGTTGCATACCATTTTATATGCCATCTCTGTACATAAATTTTCCTTTAAACACTATTTTTTCCAGTCACATATTATTCATCCCAGTTCCACAAAACCATCCTCAACCAGAAATGGCTGTTTCTTCTTCTGGTGTTCCACAGTACTGACTGCATCACTCACTGAGCACTTCTTATAACCATTGTACGTGGGTTCATGTTTTATTAATCTCTACATTAGTATTTCCATTTTAGAATATTAATTTTTTAAGCTCATGGACAGTAATATGGCCTATTATGAACTTCTGTGTCCTTTCTCTAAGCCACATTGCCTTCTCTGTTATTGTGTAATGTTTAAGAAACAGTGGCTACTTAATGCATGGTAAATAACTATAGCAAATGCTTCTTTTCCCTTCTGCAGGCTATGCATTGTACTTCCTGCTGTGTCATACCAGTTTCCTTGGAGATCCAGATACTGTGGGCATATGTAGGCCTCCAGTCCAACCCACAAGCTCATGTGTCAGGAGCCCGATTCCTATACCACTGTCAGCCCATACAGGTAAGTCTTGGCTCATAAAGGACCACCAAGCCTTACAAAGCCTCGATTGTCTTATCAGCCGTTTGATGACCAGATAATTTTTTAACTTCTGAGAGCCAATTTATGCTACCAGCCAATGTTTGGTTAGAATGAGCTGACACAATTAACTTTCAAGTCAATCCTCCCCGCCTGGTTACTGAAATTTAACATGTTTTTATGGTGAATACAATCTATATCCCTTTTTTTCTGTTTCTTTTTTTTTTTTTAATTTCATGACTATAGTAATAGGTTAGTTCTTTTAACTTAATCATACCAGTATTACTACACTGGTTGATTCAACCACAGAAAAGATTTTCCATAACTGTGTTCAGTGTGACAGTCACATGCTAATTAGAGTCTCTGGGCCTGTTGGTTGCTGTTAAAGTTACTACTGTGGCTAGTTTGTAGTCATCAATTCTTGGTTGATTGCACTCCATTAAAGTTAATTTTGGGGGACACGGGTTCATTCCCCGATCCGGGAAGATCCCACATGGTGTGGAGCGGCTGGGCCCGTGAGCCATGGCCACTGAGCCTGTGCATTCGGAGCCTGTGCTCCACAACGGGAGAGGCCACAGTAGTGGGAGGCCCACGTACCGCAAAAATAAATAAATAAATAAATAAATAAAAATAATTTTTTTTTTTTTGGCTGCACCATGCGGCTTGTGGGATCTTAGTTCCCGGACCAGGGATTGAACCTGTACTCCCTGCAGTGGAAGTGCAGAATCCTAAACACTGGACCGCCGGGAAATCCCCTAAAATAAATAATTTTAATATGTAGTAGACATATACCCATTGTTTATGATGTGCCTTAAGACAGCTTTAGCATCTGTCTTGGTTTTAGAACCTAACACTTAGCTTTAGAAGCTCAAAAACAGAAATCATTAGGCCCTGGTGAACTGATTCATGTATGAACTTATTAACTTTTAATGGAAATTAAAACTAATTGAAATTATTACCTGTCATTGCATTTACCTCCCAGAAAAGAAACTAGAGACTACATTTAAGTCAGAAGTAAAATACCTTTAGCTCCTCCCTCACAACAGAGTTGACCACCTTAGCTCTCTATGCCTGTAAATGTATTAAAACTCAGGTTGATGGAAACTGTGTTAATGAGAACATTCCATTCTCCTTGTGTTGGTTTACTGAATAAAATAGAACTCTCTGTAAGACTCATTTAATCTGTTACAGATACTGCACTGAATCTATTGTTTTATTTTTATGAACTGTATCTTTATTTATGAATACTTGTGTAGTTTGGGAGGATACCTACAGGACTGTTTTTATCTTCCTGAATCTCTGGCTCTCTTAGGCATTGAAGCTACCCAGTGCCTCTTTCTTGTCTAGATATTTTTAATCATTATATTTTTCTAGTGTTTAGTAGAGGTTAGCTTTTCAGGTTAGCCTGCCCCCTCTACAAAGTGTTTTGTTTTTTAAATTTGTGTCAACATTTAAAAATCAAGAAATTTTACCTTCACATGCAGATCTCTGACTTCTCTTGAAAATCTGGTGGTAAAGATCCTACACTCCTGCATGGCATAAACTCTCCTGCTGCTGAATGGTGATTTCAACTAATAGAGTACCTCATTCACATGGCCTATACCTACCCACCCTTAGCCATCCCACTTCTCTCATTCAGGTTATTTGCTTAGGCTGGTAGGCATTTGTGGTTTTGCACCTTGAAATGAAGGTCGGTTGAATTTTGAACTGAGCTGTCTGAATGACTTTTCATGGTATAAATGTAGCTTTAGAAACACTTGAGATTCCTCTCACTATAAAAAGTGAAGCAGCAAAATTTTTGGAATGTTCCCAGCAACAAACTACAAAATAGGGAAGAATTTAAGCAAAACACTGTGTAGACTTCCCTGTCTTCTTGTATGATAATAATAATAGCAAAACATTTTTTTTTTTTTTTTTTTTTGCGCTACGCGGGCCTCTCACTGTTGTGGCCTCTCCCGTTGCGGAGCACAGGTTCCGGACGCACAGGCTCAGCGGCCATGGCTCACGGGCCCAGCCGCTCCGCGGCATGTGGGATCTTCCCAGACCGGGGCACGAACCCGTGTCCCCTGCATCGGCAGGCAGACTCTCAACCACTGCGCCACCAGGGAAGCCCCTAGCAAAACATTTATTGAACATTTACTATGTAACAGGCACTGGTAATATTTTTTATGTGTTTTTAGTATTGAATTCTCACAACAAACCCATGAAGTAAATAGGACTTATTTACATGGTACTCTGCTGCTTATGTTTTTGTACTAATTGGTCCTTTAAAGGGATCGTTAAGTTTGGGTCTTGATAAAATACATCATGTCTTCTGTCTGAATATAAACTTTCTTTTAATTTAAAAAAGAAAATATATCTCAAGGAAGAAACAACTAGTTATAAAGAATATTTTGAATCAATAAAACCAAAATAATAAGTGAGATAAAAGAACAGTGTAGCATCACAGGATCAAGGCTCTGAACCTTTCTAGAATTATAATATTCGTTTCTATATTTAAGTGGATCATCAAGCTTTTTGGATTATCTAGGAGACCTGTTGCCTGAAGTTGAGGGTGGTAATTAAGATCCCAGGAATGAGTCAGACAGACGTAGGCCCAAATCAAGTTATTTTATTTCTCTAAATCTAATTACTCTCATCTATAAGATGGAGATTAATAATAATACTTCATTAGGTTGTGCAGATTAAATGAGATCATAAAATAAAACATTTAACATTTCCTGGCACATAGTGAATACTCAGTAAATATCGCTCATCATATCATCATTATTATTTTATTATCATACCTTTTTTGGTTCTGAATTTCCATATAAATAGCATATCAAATAGGTTTAAAGCAAAACACAAAAGAGATAAGCAGGAATTAGAGCAGTGTTTTTCAACCTTTGTTAGCTATCATCCGTGGTAAGAAATATATTTTACATCACAATCCAGCTTATAACACATACTTATATAAAACTGAAATAAGATTTTTATAAAACGTTATCTTTATGCAGTACACTCTGTGATAGTCTGTTCTATTGTAATTTATTCTGTTTTATTTTTAATGGTAGACACTAGTGGGTCACAATTTGCAATTTGAAAAACTTTTAGAGAATATATCTCTGACTACATTTCAAAACTAAATATATTGTTTAATAAATGCCTTTTATTCATCATATTGTAAATGAAAGTTAGCAGTGTTTATGCCTCAATTAAATAGCATATGCTAGAAAAACTGCCATCCTAGCTATCAGTCTAGCTAGTGGTTCTTAATTTTATGGATCCTGTTGAGAATCTGTTGAAAGCTATTCACTTACTAGAAAAATGCACAGACACACAACATTCTTTATATAGTTTCAAGGGATTTATTGATTTCTTGAAGCCCAGCTAAGAATCTCTGCCACAATCTCTTAATTAAACAGGCAGTATACTAGGAAAGATAAAGAACACTAAACAAAATAAGAATAATTCAGAATTAGATTTTTTGAAATAATTGCTATGAAAGAAAGGACTAGGAAGTGGCTGGATTGGTAACAAACAGTTCTGTTTCTCGTTTCTGTTGATGTATTGGAGAATACCAAATGACCTCTCTTCTGAGAAGGGGCAACAGTAACACCGCCAGTGGACTTGGTTGCTATGACAGTCAGTAAAGTTTCTGTTACTAAAGTCTTTCTTTTTCAGGGATCAGTCAACCACTATTTGCTTCTCTCTCTATGAATGGTTAGACTATAGAAGTTCTCTGCCCCTTTCTGTGGTTCTTAGTAGCCTGTATAGAACTTTACCTAGTTCACTGGGTTGTTCTGTTATCTTATTACCTCTTTTCATTTTTTTAAAGAACTTTTTAAAGTTATGCTCATTGTTCCATACGTTAAAATGTATAACCACCTAAGATCTCTCCCTGACACATGATGTTTAGGAACATTTACTCTAACATACGCATTCTCTTTGACTCATTTGAAAATCTTGATAACTTCACTGACATCTTTAAAATAAGTGAGGGTATTAAAATATTTTCATTGGTTTTTCCCTCAAATATATGTTTTTCCCCAAGAAAATATGGAGAAATAATGTATATGTTATCTGGAAAGTGTTATATATAAATAATTCATTAGTTATTTTTCAGAAATTATTATTGATTTTACTGTATTTAAATCACTAGTTCTCCTAAAATCAGTTTTAATACCAGATATCAGCAAACTTCTTAAAAATCATGTACTTATAAGTTCTAACAATCATAATAGATACCACCATTTCTGATTGTCTTAGATTAAATGAGACTCATGAATATAACAAGCAGATGCAGTTCATGTTTTTGCATTGGATTCTCATTTGGACAAACAATTGTAAAATATATTTTGGGATAGTTGAGGAAACTTGAATATAGACTATATTTTAGATAGAAATACCATTAACATGAAAAAATAGAGATTCATTTTTTTAAAGTAGATTATAAAACAGCCTGTACAGTATGATCCCATATAGTTAAAAATGCATATATCAATGTCTGTGTGTATAGATAAAGATGTAAATGTTAGTAGTGGTATTCTTGGTGATGGAAATATGGTGTTTTTATATCTTTTTTATTTATCATTATTCTTTAATTTTTTACAGTATAATTTACTGCTTTTGTAATAATTAAACTTACTCAAAGTCACTAAGAAAACATCTAAAAATAACTAGATGTTATTTTCAGGAATTCCCCGGTGGTCCAGTGGTTAGGACTCTGTGCTTTCACTGCCAAGGGCACGGGTTTGATCCCTAGTCAGGGAACTAAGATCCTGCAAGCAGCACGGCATGGCCAAAAATTAAAAATAATTATAATAATTAGATGTTATTTTAAAGATGAATTTATTCAGTTTCATTTACAATAGCATGAGAAAACATAAAGTACTTAGGAACAAATTTAGCAAAAAGAATGCAAAAACCTCTTCATTATAGAACATTATTGAGAGAAATTACAAGAGACCTAAATAAATGGAGTGATATACCATGTTCATGGAGAA